CAGGTCCCCTGCCGGGCCCGGGAGCCTCCCCAGTGCCCAAGACACCGGCTCGGGCTCTCCTGGCCAAGCAGCACAAGACACAGAAGTCACCTGTGCGGATCCCGTTCATGCAGAGGCCTGCCAGGCGAGGTCCACCGCCACTGGCCAGGTCGGCCCCAGAGCAGAGCCCCAGGGGCCGAGCAGGGCCCGAGGGGAGCCCCGGGACACGTGGGGGTCGCCTGGGCCTGGTCCGCATGGCCTCGGCCCGCTCCAGCGGCAGCGAGTCCTCCGATCGCTCGGGCTTCCGGCGACAACTGACCTTCATCAAGGAGTCGCCAGGCCTGCTGCGCCGCCGCCGCTCCGAGCTGTCCTCCGTGGAGTCCGCGGCCTCGGCCTCCCCGGGCGCCTCGCCGCGCCGCGGCCGGCCCGCGGGGCCCGCGCTCCCCGCCGTCTTCCTCTGCTCCTCCCGCTGCGACGAGCTCCGGGCGTCCCCGCGCCAGTCCCCGGCTCCCCAGCGGCCCCCCGGGGCGGCGGCGGCGGCGGCCCTGGCCCGGCCGGGCCCGCGGGCGCCCCGGCGCACCAGCTCCGAGAGCCCGTCCCGCCTGCCGGTGCGCGCGGCCGCCGCGCCGCCGCCCGAGGCCGTCAAGCGCTACGCCTCGCTGCCGCACATCAGCGTGGCCCGGCGGCGGGACGGCGGCCCCGCGCCCGCGGGCCCGCGCCGGAGCAGCGACGGGGAGGCCCGGCCGCTGCCCAGGGTGTCCGCGCCGCCGCCGCCGCCGCCGCCGCCGCCGGGCACCACGTGGCGGCGCATCCGCGACGAGGACGTCCCGCACATCCTGCGCAGCACGCTGCCCGCCACCGCCCTGCCGCTGCGGGGCGCCTCCCCCGAGGAGCGCAAGACCAGCGACGCCGTGGTCCAGACCGAGGAGCTGGCGGCCCCCAAGACCAACTCCAGCACGTCCCCCAGCCTGGAGGCGCCGCCCGGCGCCCCGGCCGCGGCCCCGGCCCGCGCCCCCGCCGCGCCGGGCCCCGCCAAGCCGCGCGCCCCCGCCGCCCCGGCCCCCGAGGGCGCGGGCGGCTTCCCCGCCAGCCGGCACGGCTCCCCCAGCCGCGCCGCCCGCGTCCCCCCCTTCAACTACGTGCCCAGCCCCATGGCCGCGGCCGCCCCGGCCGCCGGCGACTCCGCCGCGGAGAAGGTCCCGGCCGCCGCGGCCCCGGCCGGCCTCCTGGAATAGCGGCTCAAGCAGGCCTTCTGGAACATTCTTGCCCTGGGGCCCCGTCCGGGCTGCCCGATGGGCCTGCGCCACAGAGGCTCTGAGGAGGCCGCGCAGGGGCCCTCGGAGCCTCCGTCCCAGCTCACATCAGCCTCCCCTTAGCGCAAGACCCTGTGGGCTCCGCGGGAAGCCGGCTGCGGGCCCCAGGCACAGCCTTCCGGGGCCTGCCCCCCCTGCACCCCGGGAGGCGGTCACAGCCTCGGGGCAGCCCGAAGAGAGGTGACGGCACCCCCCCCCCCCCGTGGGGAGCGGGCTGGCAGAGGGCGCAGGCGGCGCCTGCCAGCTGGGGCCTTGGCATCTGCTGTGCCGCGCCAAGCCTGCAATTACGGCGCTCGGTAATTTGTTAATGACTGCCTGGCTGGGTTTGTTTGTATTCTCAGCTTGGGGAGTGCAGGGTGAGGGGTGTGGCTGAGAGGGACAGGAAGGCGGCCCTGCCCACACAGCCTCACAGGGAGCCGAGGAGTCAGACACCCTAGAGGTTGCCGAAGTGGGGAGAGGGCTGTCTGATCACGGGCCCAGGCCTTCTGCATCTCTTGGGGGAAAGACGGGGGGAACAGGCAGGTGATGCAGTCAACAGAGAGGGGAGGCTTAGTGTGGACACTGGAAGCGAGCTGACCCCTTATCCCCTTGGTCAGGGACCCTACTGCCATCCTGGAGAAGGAGCCGACCACCAGCCCACTTGGGCCCTGGGGATAAGTGGAGCCATGGCAACGGGGCCCAGCTATGGTGGAAGGGAAGGAAGTTGTGAGTCCCCATATCAAAGCCCCAGAGGGGCCAGGGCACCCAGGCCCACCCTATAGGGAGATGGTCAGCTTCTGGGATTTATTCATGCAGATGGCTGCTATACTGCTGGCTGTGTTCTTTTCCATGTCCTGTGCTCTCTCTCTCTCTCTAACGTTTTGTCAGGCATTTTTTAGTTTAACTTTTTGGCAGGGCTTGAACTCAGGGCCTGGACGCTGTCCTGAGCTCTTTGGCTCAAGGCTAGTGCTCTACCACTTTGAGCCACTGCTCCACATCTGGTTTTCTGGTGATTAATTGGAAATGAGTTTCATAGGTTTTTCTGCCTAGGCTGGCTTCAAACTGTCAGCCTCCTGTGTAACTAGGAGTACAGGTATGAGCTACCACACCGGCCTGTCCTGCTCATTGATGATGCATAAAGCTTGGACATCGAGGCTGAACTGCCTCCTGTACCCAGCCCCCAGCTGGAGCCTGGAGTCAAAGCAGGGATCTGGGACCTGTCAGAGGAGACGGACAGGACCTGGGGTCTCTTGAGAGCCAGATCTTGAGGGCCTTAGGCACTCAACCAGTGTGAACCTCAGAGGTCTCTGTGTTGGTTCTTGGAGCTGTGTTCCACTTCAGCCAAGAGGAAATTCCTGCAGAAAGAGCCGACGACCTCTTTCCTCCAGGATTCTAGCTCTGGGAAGAAGCTGATTGACACACGGATCTGAAGAGAGCATTTCATCCCTGAGGTCCAATGGATGTCCTTCTGGGAAAAGGGAAGTGATTTTGAGATCCAGTGGAAGGCTCTCGGCAGTGCCAGTCTCTCCCCACCCAGTCCTGTTGGGATGAGGAGCTGGCCCGGACTATGGATCCTAGAGAGCAGTGCGAAAGGAGAGACCCCAAATTCCTGTCACACCCACAGCCCTGTCACACCCCAACCCAAGCCAACAAGCAGGACGACTGTCCGTAGTCCCTGGTGACAGTGCTAGTGGCAGGCACCAACTCTCACAGTCAGCGTTCTTCCAAACAAGGCTGCTGGCCCACTGTTAACCAGCAGGAAGGGATGAGAATGAGTCTCAGAAGGACTTCCTCCTCCTCTCCAGACACCACTAGCTGGCCCCCGGAGCCCAGCTTCCCTCTGGAGTCTCAAATCTGAGGCTGCTGGGGCGTTGCTTGCTCTCAACCAGCTGCACCCCCCAAAAATGGCCTGGTGCTAGGGAAATGGTGGCAGATGGACCCGCTGCAGGCCATGGATCAAAGTACGAGGTACAACCCTGGGCCCGGCCTCCCCTACCATGCACTGTGAGACCTTGGGCAGTGCTCTCGCTGCTCTGTGCCTCAGTTTCCCCATGTGGGCCATGGGGAGAACTCAGAGCTACCTCTCGGAGGGGTGGACAGAGTAGCTGCTGTGCTGTGAGTGCCTATGCTGCTCACGGCAGTCGCCACGACCTCCCCCGGGGGCGCAGCCCCCACCAAACACCAGTAAATAAGGGGCTGTCTCCTGCTGGACCAGGTCCAGGGGCCATTTTTGCCTTCACCGCCTCCCTCCCCCCAGAGAGGGCACAGCCTCAAGGCATCAGTAGAGCCGTGGGAGGCTAGCCCGCCCAGGAGAGCAGTTTAAGAGCGACAGGCTGCACGTGGACACTCTACTAGAGGTCAGAGCTGTGGACACAGACACTGTCCCCGGTTCCCAAGCCCTGATCTCACTGCCAAACACTGCAGCCGGCCCCAAAACCGAGGACTTGCCGCCACTGGACCAGGATGTGGGGATCTGATGTCCCGACTTATGATGACTCCGTGTTCCCCCATCACATCTTCCTCTCCTGCTGAGCTGACCTGTGCCCACCACCCCTACAGCTCCCGCCCTCCTGGGTCTCTGCAGTGTTCAACCGTCATGTAAATAGTCCCAGCTCCTTCCACACCCGCCCTCTAATGTACAGCCATTTGTCTAGTGGAAAGATGATACCCAATCTGGCGTCTGGCTTTTTGTGCACCTTTAATAAACCAAGCTATGGCATTGCCCATGCTGTCCACTGTTCCTGGGTCAAGGCAGGCCAAAGGGTGGAGGCCAGCTTTCAGGGTCTTCCATCCCCGCCATGGCTGCCCCCACCACGGGTCCAGTGCTGGCCAAGGAAACCTCTTGTTGAAGGCATCTCAGGCCAGATCCCTCAGGCCAGATCTGAGTCCTCAGGGACAAGGCCCCGTGGTGTCAGCCTATGTCCACTTGGTCCCAAGGAGCTAGGAGGAAAGACAGCTCTTCAGTGTGGTGACACCACCTTGGTAGGCTGTGTGCCAGCCCTTGGCGGCTGGTCCCAGTGTAGACAGCAGGGAGTCTGGTCTGTCACCGCCACGGGGCTCTCATTGCAAGATGCCTGCCTGCCGATAGTTCTGGACAGTCGGATCCCAGGTTCTCCTCGGGGTGGACCAGGCTGGCCAGTGTGGGAAGGAGGCAGCCAGCAGTGGGTCAGGGTGGCAAAGCTTTGGCTAATGGGAAGTTCCTGAGGGGTACAGGCCCCAAAGACCCAGTGTTTGGCTTAGGAGATGGCTTGAACTGAGAGGTGTTCTTTCAGGGAGAGAAACAGAAGTTTCTTGTTTCTTTTTGCCAGTCTTAGAGCTTGAACTCGGGGCCTGAACACTGTCCCTGAGCTCTACCCCTGGAGCCACAGAGCCACTTCTGTTTATGTGGTATTGAGGAATGGAACCCAGGGTTTCAAGCATGCTAGGCAAGTGCTCTACCATGAAGCCACACTCCTAGCCCTGAGAAGTTTCTTCTAAAGAAGCGTCAGAGGCTCTGGATGGAGTTACTCCCCATAGCACCCATCAGGCCTTGCGCCATACCCGGGACCCCATGGGACCCCGTGGGGACACCTGCATATGGGCATTGACGCCCCCCCCCCCCCAGTGCATCTCCAGAGCTGCTGCCCCAGATGGCAAAGTCTCAGGAGCGACTCAGGTGGCCATTCTGATCCAAAGAGGTTTTTATCCATTGACTCAGCAGGGGCCCAGGAGCCTCCAGACCCGCCCCTCCCCCTCCCCCCTCCCCCCAACACACACAGAGCCACCCTCCTGTGGGCCACAGGTCTCTGCCTACTTTGGATGAAAAGTCCCCTTTCCCGATCCATTCACCTCCACCCACCACAGCACCAGAGCTAGCGAGGGACTCAGAACCCAGGCGGGGACTCTGGGAACGTTTCTTGGGGGACAGTAAGGATGGTGACTCCAGCATGTCAGGGTTGTTGTGAGGATCAGCCTGGCCAGAGGCAGCATTCAAATCGGGAAGGAGATAAATTAGAGGCTGGGCTGGCCCCAGTCACACTGGTGCTGGGCTCTGGCAGCCAGGTCTGACCTCCAGTTAGGCCCAGCTGAGCAGTGACCAGGGCCTCCCGAGGGTCACACGTATATCTATCTTCAGCCAACTGTTTAGTGCCCTAAGCAGGAGTATGAAGACAGGAAGGAGGTGGCACTGCTCTAGTGGCCTTGTCTCAGATCAGACCGGAGGGGACAGAACCTGGAGCAGCCATCCTTCATGTCCCCTTCTGAAACCGTGGCTGGGCCCTGCTGCAGTCCTGAGACAAGGAGCCTGTGGGGTGCGTCTCTCCAGCCAGGTGTCACAGTGTTCTGCAGCCTCCTGAGTGCTGGGAGTGAGCAGGGGTGCCCTGATCCCAGGGGCTGGCTGGACGTGGAATGTAAGCCAGGGGGACCCGGGTCCCCAGGGAGAGGGGGAAGCAAGGTCAGCGTGAGGAGAGAGCCAGGGTCCCCGGTGGCGGCAGCGCCGTCTGGGACACCTGGCTGATGTCCAGCTCCAGCTCCTGGCCGGCCTGCCAGAGCGCCTCGCACTTCTGCCTCAGCCCGTCCCCAGCCTGCCGCAGCCGCTCATTGGTGGCCACGTAAGCCCGGCTCTGCTGGTAGAGAAGCTCCCGCTGGGCCTCGGGCTCCTCAGTCTTCTTGCAGGGTCTTGGGGCATCTGGGGGACAGGAAATAGCATCCTAAGTGAGCAAAAGCCCACCTGCCACTGGGTGCTGGCGGCTCACGCCTGTACTCCCAGCTACTCAGGGGGCTGAAATCTGAGGACTGTGGTTCAAAGCCAGCCTGGGCAGGAAAGTGCATGAGACTCTTATCTTGAATTAACCACCAAAAGTGAAGATGTGGTTCAAGTAGTAGAGCACTAACCTTAGGCACAAAAACTCAGGAATTGGGGCTGGGAATGTGGCTTAGTAGAGTGCTTGCCTAGCATGCATGAAGCTCTGGGTTCAATTCCTCAGTACCACAAACAGAAAAAGCCAAAAATGGTGTTGTGGCTCAAGTGGTAGAGAGCTAAGCTTTGAATAAAAGGAGCTCAAGGACAGTGCCCAGGCCCTGAGTTCAAACTCCCAGGAATTGAGCTCAGGAATGGGTTCAAGCCCCAGGACTGGAACAAAAAAAGTCAAGTGAGAGCATGAGGCCGAGTTCAGTACAGGTGTGGATCACACACACACACACACACACACACACACAACACACACACACACACACACACCCCTGGCTGCACACACACACACACACACACACACACACACTCCTGGCTGCGCACACACACACACACCCCTGGCTGCTTCTGTCACACACACACACACACACACACACACACACACACCTTCTGTCCTGCACACACACACACACACACACCCCTGGCTGCTTCTGTCCTGCACACACACACACCCCTGGCTGCTTCTGTCCTACACACACACACACACACACACACACACCTCTGTCCTGCACACACACACACACCCCTGGCTGCTTCTGTCCTACACACACACACACACACACACACACACACACACACCTCTGTCCTGCACACACACACACACCCCTGGCTGCTTCTGTCCTACACACACACACACACACACACACACACACACACACACACACACACACACACCTGGCTGCTTCTGTCCACACACACACACACACACACACACACACACACACACACACACACACACACACACACACACACACACACACACACACACACACACCTGGCTGCTTCTGTCCTGCTCAGGGCTATCTAGATTTCCACTGAGTAAGTCCAACATCCAACTCAAGTATGTGGGGTGCTAGGGTTTGGTTAAAAAGTCCCAAGCACCCAGCTTGTCGTTTTGTTTTTGGAAATGGAGTCTCATGGACTTCCTGCCCGGGCTGGCTTTGAACCCGATCTTCAGATCTCAGCCTCCTGAGTAGCTAGGATGACAGGCGTGAGCCACCTGCATCCAGCCCATTGGCTTTGTTGTTGGTTTTTGTGATGCTAGGAATAAAACCCAGGGCCTCAAACACACTAGGTTAAATGCTCCACCACCAAACCATGCCCCCTTTACACCCCAAACCCTATTTAGCACATCAAAAATGTAAAAAGTTGGGGTTGGCATTAACTTAGCGGCAAAGGGCTTATCCAGGCACAAGAAGAAACAAACACTATTCTTTTTTTGGGGGGGAGGGTCCGGTCGTGGGGCCTGAACTCTGGGCCTGGGTGCTGTCCCTCAGCTCTTCAGCTCAAGGCTAGCGCTCTACCACTTGAGCCACAACACCACTTCCTCCTTTTATCTTTTTGCTTATGTGGTGCTGAGGACTTGAACCCAGGGCCTCAGGCATGCAAGGCAAGCGCTCTACCACTGAGCCTCCTTCCCAGCCCCACAAACACTATTCCTAACACCATTCTTGCACATCCCTGTTTTAGACTACCCCAGGGATGGGCCCGTGGTAGTAGAGCTTGATCCTAGGGGCCTCCCACTTGCTTGCTCTGTTTTCCTGCTTATGGCTGGCACTCTACCACTTGGGAAACACCTCCAGCCTTGCCTTTTGCTGATGATTTTGGAGATGGAGTTTCACAGACTTATTTTTGCTCAGGCTGGCCTCTAACTGTGATCCTCCCAATCTCAGATATCTGAGAAACTAGGATAGTGATCCCCCCAGGGCCCGACAGACAGGTGCACTTTATAGACCAGGAGGAGGGAGCCTGGGTGAGGCCAAGGGTCGCTCGAGGTTCCAGGCTTGAGTCGGGAGTCCCAATGACATGGCCTCATCAGATCTGATGCTGGGGGCCAGCGTCAAAGTGTCAGGACCCTTCTGCCAGCCCGGGCCTTGGCTCCCCTACCTTCTGAGGCCAGAGCCGTGAAGATGGGGTCCTGGGCCGGCGCCCCACGCACGTCCTCCAGAATCTGCTCCATGGTGGGGGGCGCCGGACGGGTGGGCAGCACCACACGCTTCTTGGCTTTGGAGCCCATCCTGGAGGAGGGAGAAGGGAGTACAGGCCGGGCGGGTGCTCTCGCCTGGCAAACTCGTACGCAGCCGCCGCGGCCCCGTGGCCAGTGCCCCTCTGGGCCCGCTCAGCCTGTGACCTGACTTCTGTCCGACCACAAAAGCCCAGGCCTTGCAGGTCTGGAGCGACCTTGGACTCAGTTTCCCCGCGCCTGGATGCCGGTCTGCAGTAACCAGCCCAGCCAGCACCACTTCCGCTTCCGGTTATAACTAACCACGAGTGACATTCTTCTTCCGGCCTCTTCGAGCACCGGCCGCTCCTCTTAAAGGAGCCGCGCCCTCGACGATCCCGTTCCTATCCAGCAGGGGGCGCGATAGGCCAGAGCGAGCTCAGCTTCCCAGGCCCGCGGGCTGGAAAGCCCAGGGAGGGAACCTGAGTTCAAATTCAGGTCTCTCTGGTTGGGCAGCGAGTGGGGACAAGCCACTGGCCCTGTCCATCACGGAAGGAGGCTGTGGACAAGGCAGTATCGCACCTTCACAGCTGGCCAAGGCACTGCTCAGTATCAGAGGTGGGCCGCAGGGTCATCCCCTCAGGCTGGCATGACAGGCCGAAAGCCAGGGGAAGTTACTGTGCTTTTAAACAGCTTCCTTTTCTTTTCCTTTCTTTCTTCCTACCTTCCTCCCTTCTGTAGCGGGGAAGGGTCTGCTAGACTGTTAAGATCCCAGACTGTGTGTGTGAGAAAAACTAAGCTGAGAAATTGAGCCTTTACTAAAAACAAAGAGAGGCCATAGGGAGACCTTAAAACATATTTCCCACGGACTTTGGCGCTCTCATACCGTGCAGCGTTGTGCATCCTCCTTAGCTATCTTTGTAGTAAATCTCCTGTAGCTGTCTACGTCACAGCCCCCAGCTTCCAAGGTGCAGGGGCATATGACATTATGTTTCTGGAATGTGCAGCCCCCATGAGTAAGAATATCCGCCTGCTTTGTGTGGGGACCCCAAATTCCCACGCCAATTCAAACCAAATGATAGGTTAGTTCAAACAGTGACTATGAGACGGACTGTAACCTCATTGGCCACTGACATAAATATGCAGTCTTTACGTGTGTGTTACAATCCCATTGGCCACCTGCGTGTGGCTAGGCTTGACCACATCGATTTTGCCTTTAAAAAACTCTAGCTTGTGGGCTGTTCGGGGTCGAAGGTTTAGCTCCCGAGTCTGTGCTGAGTCCCTGGCTGGTCAGCTTCCACTTCCCCAATAAAGTCATTTTTTTTTTTTTTGGGTCCAGTCGTGGGGCCTGAACTCTGGGCCTGGGCGCTGTCCCTCAGCTCTTCAGCTCAAGGCTAGCACTCTACCACTTGAGCCACAGCGCCACTTCCGGCTTTTTTCTTTTTGCTTATGTGGTGCTGAGGAATCGAACCCAGGGCCTCAGGCATGCAAAGCAAGCGCTCTACCACTGAGCCACCTTCCCAGCTCCCTCCAATAACCTTTTGAAATCACTCTGTTTCCTACCTCGCCTGACATCTTTTCATACCAGACATAAGAATCAAGATAACTGTGTTCACCTGGACAGAAAAGCAATGAAACTCTTATCTCCAATTATCCTGCAAAAAGCCAAAAGTAGTCGGGCATTGGTGGCTCACGCCTGTAATCTATCTACACAGGAGGCTGAGATCTAAGGAGTATGGTATAAAGCCAGCCCAGGCAGGAAAGTCTGTGAGACTCTTATCTCCAATAAACTACCAAAAAGAAAAAAAAAAAATCCAGAAGTGGAGTTGTGGCTCAAGTGATAGAGCACTAGACTTGAACAAAAGCTCAGAGACAGCTCCTAGGCTTTGAGTTCAAGCCCTAGAACCAGCACACACACACATACACACACACACACACACACACACACACACACACACACACACACACACACACACACACACACACACAAAATCCTTGAGAGAAAAAGCCAAGAGCACATAAAGCTCTGAGTTCAAGCTCCTCTGCTTAAATAAAATAAAAAATAGCCAGGTGCTGGTGGCTGTAATCCTAGCTACTGAGAAGGCTCAGATCTGAAGACCATGGTTCAAAGCCAATCAGGGCAGGAAAGTTTATAAGACTCTTCACCAATTAACCAGCAAAAAGCTGGAAGTAGAGTTGTGGCTCAGGTGATAAGAGTACTAACCTTGAACACAAAAGCTCAGGAACAGACATTAAAAAGAAGAACCTCCGCCGGGCGCTGGTGGCTCACGCCTGTAATCCTAGCTACTCAGGAGGCTGAGATCTGAGGATCGCGGTTCAAAGCCAGCCCGGGCAGGAGAGACCGTGAGACTCCTATCTCCAATAAACCACCAGAAAACCGAAAGTGGCACTGTAGCTCAAGTGGTAGAGCGCTCGCCTTGAGCTGAAGAGCTGAGGGACAGCACCCAGGCCCAGAGTTCAAGCCCCACGGCCGACCAAAAAAAAAGAAAAGAAAAAAAAATCTCCCCAGATCCTCACTCCCACAAGTCCACCTTCTTGCTTTGGATTGTCCTGTTCTGGACATTAACACCTTTGTGTCAGCTTCTCGCAGCATGGTATCCTCAAGGTCTCTCCAGGTTGCAGTGTGTGTCAGAGCCTCGTCCTGTTTGTGGCCACGTGGCGCTAGCGTGAGAGCAGATCGCACCGTGTGTCTGTGTGCTGCTGAGGGATAGAGCGGAGCTTTGATTCCTCCTGCTGGGAATGTGGGTGAATGCTTCTGTATGGACGTGTTTCCATGCCGTTCCTGGAACCTCTGTGAACTCCACGCTTGTCTGCAGAACTACCAGACTATTTGCAGAGTGGCCAGCACACTGGGCCTAGCCACTTTTTTTCCAGACCTGGGGTCTGGGCACTGGCCCCAAACTTCTTTTGCTCAAGGCTAGCACTCTACACTTGAGCCACAGTGCCACTTCTGGCTTTTTCTGTTTCTGTGGTACTGAGGAATTGAACCCAGGGCTTCATGCATGCTAGGCAAGCACTCTACCACTAAGCCAGGCCAGCCACTTTTAGAGGATGCGTGTTGTGTTCCAGACTTGTTGTGGGGAGACCTAGGAATAGTGTGGAAACTCAGCATCAGCAGCATGGGGGGTTCACTCCATTCCTACTTTCCCCTCCCCACATAACCTGAACCTGGGGTGGGGGATGTCTCTGAGCCTGAGGCTGATTTTTCTTTTTTTGGTCATTCGTAGAGCTTGAACTCTGGCCCTGGGCACTGTCCCTGAGCTCTTCAGCTCAAGGTGAGCACTCTACCACTTGAGCCACAGTGCTACTTCTGGTTTTCTGGTGGTTGATTGGAGATAAGAGTCTTATGAGCTGGGTGCTGGTGGCTCACACCTGTAATCCTAACTACTCAGGAGGCTGAGGTCTGAGGATCATGTTTCAAAGCCAATATGGGCAGAAAAGTCCATGAGACTCTTACCTCCAACTAACTACCAGAAAACTGGAAGTGGCTCTGTGGCTCAAGTGGTAGAGCACCCATCTTGAGCTGAAGAGCTCAGGGACAGCACCCAGGCCCAGAGTTCAAGTCCTATGACAGACAAAGAAAGCAAAAAGAGTTTTATGTTCTTTCTTGTGTGGGCTGGCTTTGAACCTCGATCCTTAGATCTCAACCTCCTGAGTAACTAGGATTACAGGCGTGAGCCACCAGTGCCCAGCTGATTTTTTTTTTTTAAGAGCTGAGGATACTATACTGGGCCTTACAATTGTTAGGTAAGTGCTCTTCCACTAAGCTAAATTTCCAGCTTTTTTTTTTTTGTTGTTCCAGTCCTATGGAGCTTGAACTCTGGGCCTGGATACTGTCCTTGAGCTTTTTTGCTCAAGGCTAATGCTCTACCACTTGAGCCACAGCTCCACTTCCAGCTCTTGGTGGTTCTTTGGCGATAAGAGTCTTACAGAATTTCCTGCCTGGATTGGCTTTGAACCGTGATCCTCAGATCTAAGCCTCCTGAGATGCTAGGATTACAGTCATGCACCACTAGTGCCCAGCTCTTAGGATGATTTTGTTTTCTTTTTGGCTTGCAGGGGTCGACTTGGGCAGGAGGAAGTAGTTCCGCACTGCGGCACAGGGCCAAGGATGCACAGCTTACGCTGTCCCCAAAGGAAGCCACAGGCTTAGCACCTTCTAGTCAACCTTTATTTTCAAGCTCTGAAGTTGGGACCAATTCTGGGGCAGGAAAGGGATGGTTATTGTGGTCCAGCCTCAGCCCATCCATCCCGTCTCCCATGGGTAAGGAGACATTTCTCTCTCGTTCTCTGTCTCACTGGTTGCTGTGGAGTTCAAGCTGCAAGGCTCCATGTAGCCCGCACCCTTGGCCTGAATGCAGACACTGGTAGCCTGCCAGGACCTGGGGGCAAGGAGCTGGTCCCAGCTGGGTGAGGGAAGGGACCTGCAGTGTGCACCTGGGACCCCAGGGAGGCCACTTTCCATCTTGAAGGCAGACATCTCTATGCTCCAGCCCATCGCGGGCCTGGGGTGCTGGCAGGCATAGCTCCAGGGCCTAGGACGGGAGGCCCTCAGATACATGGCAGAGGAAGCTGGTCCCCCATGCCACCACCAGCACCGCTAGGCCAGTCCTGTGGCCCAGGTTGGGTGGCAGCAGTAGGGCTGGGCAGTGGCGGTGGGCTGGGGGTGGCCACTGGGTGTGGTGGGCCCTGAGCAGGAGGCCTGACGCTGGTCTGGCCCGGGGCAGGAGGCGGTGGTGGTGCAGTCACTGGCAGAGCGACCCCACCAGGGGTCACAGGAGCTCTGGCAACCGGCACGTACTTGGTGAACATACATGGCTGAGTGCCCAGGCCCTGTGGTCACACCATCCGTTGGATTCAGTTGACGTACCTCGGCCGACAGGAAGGGAAGCGGAGGGGGCCTAGGAGGGGGGCAAGCCCGATGCGTTCTGCAGGGGGCGGGGACGGGAGGTCAGAGGGCATGAGGTTGCGGCCTGTGGCCTGGGCCTGCCGGATCCTGCCCGCCCTGGGCCGCACACGCACTCTGCCCACCTCTGTCCCCTCCTCCACTCACCCTGGCACAGCCCCTCTGTGTCCCGCCGCACACACGCACTGCTGGTCACCTGGGGGCCTGGGGGCCGCCGGGTCATGTCCTCGGCCGTCCCGTAGAGCAGCAGTGTGTAGCGGTATAGTGTCCCTGGGCAGGGGATCACGGTGGCACAGAGGGGTGGAGAAGCTATTGGCAAACCTGGTCCAACCAGGTCCTGGGGCCATTGTCCTCAGCCATCCAGGACCCCAGATCATACAGAGCAAAGCACCTACTATGTGCTGCTGGCCTGACACTTCACTTCCCTTGGGGGTAACTGGACATTTCCCAGGGTCACTGCGTGCCTACTATGTGCCAGTGGCTAGAGCCTCTCCTTCCCTAGGGTAACTGCCCTGGAGAACTGTACACCTACTGTGTGCTGGGGGCCAGACCCTCCACCCTCCTGGGGTGTCCTACACACTCTGTGGCGCGGAGCCTCCAGGGCGGCTCTCACCGGTGTTGAAATAGTAGCCCTTGTTCTCCAGGCCCAGGGTCCACAGGCCCTGGGGGGCCTCGTCCCAGTAGTGGGTAGACATAAAGATCCAGTTGTTGTAGCCCTTGCTGCTGACGTCCAGGGGTCTGGGGCAGGCAGTTAGGCAGGGGGTGGGGGTGGGGGGGTGGGGGGGGAGAGGACAGCCTGGAAATGAGAGCTGGGCCCCGCCATGGCACAGTCCCCTCCCAGGGGGGGGGGGCGCTCTGGAGGGAGGCCCGCCTGTGCCCACAGGCCTTGCCAGCAGGGTCCCGGCAGTGGGCGAAGGAGGCCCTGCCAGGCTGCACACCTGATGGCCACGAGAGTGGAGCGTGTGCCCATGGGGCTAGTGAGCGAGATCTCCAGGTCCCCCCGCCGGCTGTAGGACAAGGAGAGCTGCACCTGCACGTGCTCCAGCGAGTGGATCCCCCGGTGGCGGCCGGAGCAGGCCGACACATTCTTTGGTACGTGCATCCGCGGCAGGATGGGGCTGGGGGGCGAGGATCTCCTGTTGGCCTGCCCGGTAGGGTGGGCGGCTGGGCAAGGGGGGCTCCCCACCCTCCCCTGCGCAGGGATGATGGATGGGTGTGCGGGGAGGCCTGGGCCGCGCCCGGGGCGGGGCCTCGCTCACGTCGGGGCGTGGACAACCCTGATGACACATTTCTTCTGAGGCTTTGTGGGCAGCCACGTGCGAGCCAAGTCCACCAGCAGCCCGGCGTCCAGCAGCCCGTAGCCGTAGTGGTGGCTCACTGTGTGGAGGAGTGAATGGCTGTCACACTTGGGGGGCATAGCCCCCCGGTCCCCTGCCTGGCTCCACCGCACCTTGGCGCCCCACACCGTTGACCTTCCAGTCCTCTGCCTGCAGCTGGGCGGGCTTGGATGCACGGACCACCAGGTGCTGCAGGTCCCTCCAAGACAGGAGAGGGCTGGGGGCGGAGAAGATGGATGAGTTGGAGTCACACCTGCAGGCAGGAAGGGCTTCTGGGTGTCATGGGGGAGCGGTCACCTACTTGGCCTCCAGAGCCAGGGCGATCATGCCTGCTGCCAGCGGGGCCGAGGCAGAGGTGCCTGTGTGCCTCTTTGTGCACTGGTGGTGCAGGTCCGTGGTGACCTGGGGAGCAGAGAGCGGCAGGGCTGGGAGGAGGGGGCAGTGGACAATGCAAATGTACAGGGATTCGCTCAAAAAGTACCAAAGGCTTTTCAAGTATTTAGGGTGGCCTAGCTCACGCCTGTCATCCTTACTACTCAGGGGGCTGAGAGCTGATGATTACAGTTCAAAGCCAGCCAAGGGCCAGGAAAGCCTTTGAGGCTCTTCTCTCCAATTAACCACCAGAAAACTGGCAGTGTGGATGTGGCTCTACAAATGGTAGACTGCTGGCCTTGAGCAAAAGAGCTGAGACAGTGCCTAGGCCCTGAGTTCAAGCTCCAGGACAGACAAAAATAAAATAAAGAGAATTAAGGAGAAAGATACTGAAGATTAAGCTCAGAAAGCATGAACATTAAGTTAAAAAGGGGGGGAAAAAAGTGAATCCGGGGGCTGAGTTTTATTTGTTTGTTTTTTTGGTGTTTTTTTTTTTTGGGTCCGGGCATGGGGCCTGAACTCTGGGCCTGGGCGCTGTCCCTCAGCTCTTCAGCTCAAGGCTAGCGCTCTACCACTTGAGCCACAGCACCACTTCTGGCTTTTTTCTTTTTTGCTTATGTGGTGCTGAGGAATCAAACTTAGGGCCTCAGGCATGCAAGGCAAGCCCTCTACCACTGATCCACCTTCCCAGCTGAGTTTTAAAAGTCCCAAAGACCATGAGGATGCTGTCAGACAAAGGTCAGCGTCCTGAGCACTTGCCCAGATCATTCCCCGCTTCTCCAGGGAAGTATGCCCAGCCCAGCCCAAGAGACACGGGGGAGTGAAGGCCGACACCCTGACGCTCCACCAGACTCTTGAGAGGTTGGGGAGGGCACGTGTGTCAGGCTAGGGACCAGTGTAGAGGGGGAAGGTCTGGGAAGACTTTCTGGAGGTGAAGGCCATCAGGGACAGAGGGCAGGGCCTGAACAAGGCCCCCAAGCAGGAAGGATATAAAAGGGGGGACGCGACTGGAGTCGTTTTTGCTCTGGCTGTCAGAGGTGGGCTGAAGTGGGGGGGGTGTTGAAGGCATACTGGAAGCGGTGGGGTGGGAAGCGTCTGGAAGGTGGGGTCGGGTGCAAGGGGAGTGGTCTGCATCTGGCTGGTGGAGGTGGGGCGGGCAGGGCAGGGTCTGTGTCGGGTGAAGAGGACCGGGCAGGTGGGGCGGGCCTGGGCGGGGCGAGGTGGGCGGGGCCTGGGCGGGGAGAGCTGGGCGGGGCCTCGGCGGGGAGAGGATGGGGCGGGGCCTGGGCGGGGAGAGGTGGGCGGGGCCTGGGCGGGGAGAGGGTGGGGCGGGGCCTGGGCGGGGAGAGGGTGGGGCGGGGCCTCGGCGGGGAGAGGTGGGCGGGGCCTCGGCGGGGGGAGGTGGGCGGGGCCTCGGCGGGGAGGGTGGGCGGGGCCTCGGCGGGGAGGGTGGGCGGGGCCTCGCCAGGCGCGGGCGGCACTCACGATCTGCGGGTCGGTGGCCACGCCGCTGCTGAAGGTGGTGGTGAGGGTGGAGGCGCAGGCCTCGCTGTACCAGGGCACGCGGCCCTGCCTGGTGGTGCTGCCCACGGACAGCGTGTGGATGCTGTTGGTGTACCCGTCGCAGTTGCAGTTGTCGTAGTGGAGACCGCCGTTACCCGAGGCCCAGACGAAAAGCGTGCCGAGTCCGCCGCGGCCCTGGGAGCCGAAGGGAGGACGGCAGCAGGGGAGCAGGGCGCCGGCGCCGCGAGGGTCCGGGCTTGGTTCCCGTGCGCACCCCTCCCGCTCCCCCCTCCCGCTCCCCCCTCCCGCTCCCCCCTCCCGCTCCCCCCTCCCGCTCCCCGTTCCCCCCTCCCCGCTCACCTTGGTCACGCCGCGCCGGAAGGCTTCCCGGGTGAGGATGCCGGGGCCGTCCACCGTGCGGCCGTCGTCCTCGGGGCCCCAGCTGGCGCTGTAGATGTGGATGTGCTGCGGCTGCAGGCTGAGGGACTGCGCCTCCACGACGTCGGTGATGGTGCCGTCCAGCATGCGCACCCCTGCGCGGGCGGGCGCGGGCCTCTCACGCCAGCCGCAGCCCCCTCCCGCCCGCGCCCCACGCCAGCCGCCAGCGCCCGGGACCCTCGCCCCCCACCCTCCCCAGCAGTCCCGGGCCGAGCTCCGGGCAAGCTTGATACCTCCGATTCGGGCGTTGAAGGCCACGCCAATGCCGCAGAAGCCGTTGTCACCTACGGCAGCCACCTCCCCAGCACATCGGGTCCCGTGCCTGGGGCCACAACCAAGACGATTGCCCGTCCCTTGCCCCTCCCTCCCCTCCGCAAGGCACCGGCGCCTCCTCACGCCCCTTGGGACGAAACCGGGACGCTCACCGGTTCTCATTGCTCGGTGTGTAACGAGGCTGGGGGTCCGAATCATAGTCATTGAAGTCATAGCTGGCTAGAGGGTCCTGGGGGGAATGTGAGGACAGCAGAAATGTGTCAGGTGTCCCCTGGGACAGGGCCCAGCCTTGGAACCTTGGGCCCGAGGGCAGGCCACCCTGTCACGGCCTCACGTAGTTGGCCCAGAGGTCGGGATGGTCCTTCTCAATGCCATCATCCAGGACGGTGACCACGATGCCCTGGCCGGTCAGGCCCTGTCTCCAGACCTGCAGGATGTTCAGGTCAGGCTTCATTTCATTGTTCTGTGAGAGGCAGGGGGATCCCGAGTCAGTCACCTGCACTGGCTGCTTTTGCCTGCCCGCCTGGCCCTGCTGCTCACCATGTACCACTGCTTGGAGAACCAGGGGTCCGTGGGCATCGCCAAAGAACGCTTCACCCTCCTCTGAAGGGTCTGCTGCTGAAACCACTGCACCTACAGGGGTGTAGCCACGACTGTCCACTGCTTGTCCCTGCACTCCACTATGTATGGGAAGGCAGGCTGTGGTGATGTGGGCTTCTGCAGAGGTCCTTGCAATGAAATCCCACGTTTGTTGGGGCTACTCTGTAAGGTCTCCACATACCAGGGACGCTGTCCTCGATCAGAGGGCAGGGCAAACCTGTCCGAGCACTTGCTTGCAGGCCAAAAGAAGAATGGCTCAAGCTATGGGTGAGTGGGACTCTGGTTCCAGCCCTGTCCCTTCCACCTTCTTTGTTCTAAATCTTTTTCAGTCGTGGGGCTTGAACTCTGGGCCTGAGCGCTGCCCCTCAGCTCTTCAGCTCAAGGCTAGTGCTCTACCACTTGAGCTACAGCGCCACTTCCAGTTTTCTGGTACTTTATTGGAGATAAGAGTTTCACAAGCCGGGTGCTGGTGGCTCACGCCTGTAATCCTAGCTACTCCAGAGGCTAAGATCTGAGGATTGCGGTTCAAAGCCAGCCAGGGCAGGAAAGTCCGTGAGACTCTTATCTCCAATAAACCACTAAAAAACCAGAATTGACACTGTGGCTCATGTGGTAGAGCGCTTGCCTTGAGCTGAAGAGCGTAGGGACAGTGCCCAAGCCCAGAGTTCAAGTTCCACGACCGACCAAAAAAAAAAAAGTTTCACAGACTTTCCTGCCAGGCTGGCTTTGAACCGTGATTCTCAGATCTCAGCCTCCTGAGTAGCTAGGATTACAGGCATGAGCCACCGGCACCCGGCCATGTCCAAGTCTTTTCATCCCTTCCAAACCCATTTGTGCCCTGACTCAAGCTCCCATACTGGAGTTCGAACTTAGGGCTTAGATGCTGTCCCTTAGTTCTCTCTCTCTCTCTCAAGACTGGTGTTCTAGAAGTGGTGCAGTGACTTAAGTGGCTTAAGTTTGCCTTGAGCTGAAGAGCTGAGGACAGTGCCCAGATCCAGAGTTCAAGCCCACGACCAGCCAAAAAAAAAAACAAAAAAAAAAACCCAAAAGACTGGTGCTCTATGGCTGGGAAGGTGGCTCAGCAATAGAGTGCTTGCCTCGCATGCATGAGTCCCTGGGTTCAATTCCTCAGGACCACATAAGCAAAAAATAAACTGGAAGTGGCGCTGTGCCTCAAGTGGTAGAGCACTAGCCTTGAGCTGAAGAGCTGAGAGACAGCGCCCAGGCCCACAGTTCAGTCCCCATAACCAAAAACAGCAGCAAAAACAAAAGAGAGGCTGGTGCCCTACCACTTGAGCCATACTGACACTTCCAGCTTTTCTTTTCTTTTTGGTAGTTCATTGAAAATAAGAGTCTAAAGGGCTTTCCTGTCTGACTTTGAATTGCAAACCTCAGATCTCAGCCTCCTGCATAGCTAGGATTACAGGTGTGAGCCACCATTGACCAGCAACCATTACCCAGGCATGAACTACCAGTGCCCAACTTGGAAAGTTTTGATATGTGTGCCTTACTTATTTCCTCAAAAGATAGTCTGTATGACCACCCATCCTGGGAAAGTTCAAATCTGCCTCTGCCATCTTTGTAAGGTGGCTCTGTGTTTTGGGTTCTATCCCTTCTTTTCACCAACTATCCACCCTACCTGGATGCAGTAGTGTGTGTGTGTGTGTGTGTGTGTGTGTGTGTGGCATGCACAAGTGCCAGTACTGGAGCCTCCCTTTCTTGTTTGGCTTTTTGCTCAAAGGTGGTTCTTTACACTTAAGCCACAGCTACACTTCAGTGTTTTTCTAGTTAATTGGAGATAAGAGTTTCACGGAGGGCTGGGAAGGTGGCTTAGTGGTAGAGTGCTTGCCTAGCATGTATGAAGCCCTGGGTTTGATTCCTCAGTACCACATAAACAAGAAACCAGTGCTGAAAATGGCGCTATCGTTCAAGTGGAGACAGTACCCAGACCCTGAGTTCAAGCACCAGGAGCGGCAAAAAGAGAAGGGGGGTGGATTTTCATGGAGTTTTCTCCTTGGCCTGGCTTCAAACTATGATCCTCAGATCTCAGAACCTAAGCAACTAGGAGTATAGGTGTAACCCACTATTGCCCAGATCATCTAGGTCCTTTTGTCCAAGTCTTGCATCACTCCTCAAACCAGCTGCTTCTAATTTTCCCTCCCCTGATCAAAATATCCCCAGGGTCACACCCACATCTTCCCTGACCACCAGCCACAAAACTCTGTTTTTCTGGTCTCCCTCTTGCTCACTTGGCACAGTACTGGGCTTGATATGCCAAGAGCCTATAAATCAATTTCTACCTTAGGGCCTTTGCACATGCTGTTCTGAGAGGCAGGATTGCTTTTCCTTGGACTTTTTTGGCCTTCCTCCTTACCACTTATATTTGTCAGCCTGTGTTCTCTCACCCCCATCTCAGTGATTGGGGGCATCTCCTAGCTTTCATTTTGGGAGCTGGTCCCTGTTTTCAGGCTTGGGAGCAGCCATGGTACATGCTGGTACATGGTACACATGCAAAATGTGTACCAGACATTTCTCTTAGTCCCTAGTGCATCAGGTGGAAAGGGTCCACTGAAGTCAAGATGACCTGAGAAACATGGCTCTCCAGAGCCCATCCCAGTCCCTCACCCTAGTATCCAAGGACTTTCTTTCTTTTCTTTTTCTTTTTTGACAGTCCTGGGGTTTGATCTCAAGGCCTGGGCACTGTCCCTGAGCCTCTCTGTGCTCAAGGCCAGCAGTGCTCTACCACTTGAGCCACAGTGCCATTTCTGACTATTCCTGAGTAGTTGATTGGAGATAAGAGTCTCATGGACTTTTCTGCCCAAGCTAGCTTTGAACTGTGATCCTCAGATCTCAGTCTCCTGAGTTCCAAGGCTTTTCTACAACAGGACCCCACCCAGTCTGGCCCAGAATGCTCGCCATGTGCCAGATCTTGGTGGTGTTGAATGCCATGGTCAGGAATGCATCCTCCATCTGGGTCCCCCGTTAAAGACAGCTAGGGACTCCCTAAAGGCCACAGAACTACTCATAAACCATCACAAGAATAAGCTCTCAGAGGGTAGCTGAGACTCTAAGAGGGCTGCCTCCAAAGCCAGGCTCACCTTGGGGTCTCTCTTGAGGTGCAGGCGATGGCCCCAGTGTGGAGTCAGGGACTGCTGGACCACACCCCGATGCCGCAGGTGGAAATATTGCCCGTCAGGGAAGATCTGGGAATGTGAGGAGCAACTGTGCTGCTGGGACCCAGCTCCTCTGAAAGAGCCCTCCCCCAGAGGAGGCAGGGGGTCAGGTCCTTCCCTGTGCACCCGCCCCCACCCAAGTGCCCAGGTAAGGGGGCTTCCCATATGCACTGGGAGGCCTAGAATGCAAAGATGGCAGTGGAAGGGGTAAGCAGAGGCTCTTGATACTTGCGGGGGGGTGGTGGTGGTGGTGGGAGGAGGGGGGGGTCTCAGGGACTAAGACACTCTATCTGTCTGGAGTGGTCCAGCCTTCACTTCCCAACCATCCAAGTCATGATCACCCACCTGCCCTAGATTGACGAAGCCGAATTTGCGTGAGAGGCGCTCAGCCTCCTGATAACCTTGGGTCACCCGCACGGCCCAACTGCTGACATAGATGGGGGCTCGGGCCGATGCCCACCCTACAGCCAGGGGCCCGAAGGGGGCCAGGTTGAGGGCCACGGCCAGGCTCAACCACAGCGCAGTTGGGGCGAGCCGCATGGCGGCGGGGGCGGGGCCAGGGGCGGGGCAGCTGGAGGTCCCACCCTCGGCCAAACCGCCGAGTCGGCCCGGCGCCCGCCCCGCCCCCAGCACCATAGCAACCCCGAGGCTTCCGACTCCTTGGGGGCCTGGCAGATCCCTCTCCCAACGAGGGGCGGGAAGATCCGACGGAAATCGTGGGGGGTGGAGAGCGGGAGACCCTTGCCCGCAGACCTAAGCCTTCTGGAGCCTCAATCTGTCCATTTACACAGGGACGCCCTCTCTGGCCCGGAGAAGCAGGTTTAATGTTGTACTGCGGGAGCCGATTCTCAAACTTTATTTGGTTCCGCCCACTTTCTTACAAATACCCCTCCCTCAGAAACTAGCCCTGCCTCTTATCTGCGACTAGTCCCGCCTCCTTCCACTACACCTTCCCTGTCTCCGCCCCTTAGACCCCGCCCCGCCTCCTTTATGATCAACCCCGCCCTTCTTCCGGCTTCACCAATGACTCTTCTGCTTCTCCAATCAGCTCTGGCCTTTACCTGGCCCCTCCCACCTGGTCTTCCCACCCTAGCCAGGTGTCCCTTCTCTCTAGCTCCACCCACCTCAAAAGCGCAGCCAATAATCCCGGCCCTGACGCCACCTCCCCAATCAGTTACGTACCATTTCCTCTCGACCAATCAGAGTGCCCGGCCGCTGCGCCCCGCCCTCTCCCTGATGAGTTCCTACGGTCCGGGCCGCCGTCCGCCAGAGGGCAATGCGGCGGGGGAGACGGGGGAGGCCCCACCTCCTTTGTCCGCCCTGCCCTCCCATTGGCCCTGGCGGGGGGGCGGGGGCGGAGTCCGGGCCGGGGGCGGAGCAGGGCAGCCCGCGCCCGGGCATGGCTGAGCAGAAGCCAAGGGGTAGGTGTACTGGGAAGCGGACAAGTTCGAGCTGCCAACGCCGGGGCCGCCGGGGCCATGGACGGCCTGCGACAGAGGTTCGAGCGCTTTCTGCAACACAGGAATCTAGCCACCGAAACACTCGGATGGCTCGAAGCCTGGACCGGTGTCGAGAAGCGTTATCTGGCCGTGGGTGAGCCCCATTTCAGCGACGGGCACACCGAGGCCCTGGGCATCGAGGTCTCGGGCCTCAGCATCTCTCCGAATGGCCCTGGCATCGGGAATCTGGTCCGGGTGGAGCGCGCGCTCCATTGCCCAGCGGAGATCCTGGGGAGGGGAGCTGGGTCTGGGGTCGAACTTGAGTCCATTCATGGCCCCTTGCCCGGCCGCAATATGCGACCTTGGGAAAGGACCACCGCTAGGTCCCGCAGCACCTTCCTGTAGCCCAAGTACCTCTGTCGTCCCTGGCCCCCTTCTTGGGGCCCTGGGTGTCCGCCAGACTCAGGTCCAGTTCTTCCAGTTGCTTAGCCCGCCTTGGCTGATCAAAGGGCATTCCAGCCCCCAGTGTCCCGTGTTCCCACGACCCCTTCCCTGGTGGACCCCAGCCTCGCATCACGTCTAGAAGACATGTCCAGTTTTGTCTGAGGAGAGGCCCTGGAGGGGGACCCTCCTCCCCTGTCGCTTTGGGAGGCTGTCAGCGTTCTCTTGCCCTACCTGCTCTCCTTGGACATGCATTGGGGCCCTGGAGAAAGGAGAATTCACCACACAACCCATTGTAACAATGACAGTCTGGCGAGCATAGTATGTTTCTTCAATGCTCAGACACTTTGAATCCAGGGGAACCCTAGGTGGAAGACAGTGTCATTAATTTTTTTTAAAACACTCTCTGGGGAGAGATTGGAGGAGTCTAGCTTCCTTCCATTTTTCACAACTGGAGGACTCCTGTGTGGAGGCTTCCGTTAGGCTGTCTTAGGGAGATGTGAAATCAGTGCCCAGACCCTCAAGGCCTCCTGTTACCAGCCCTCCACTGCAACTCAGCCTGGTGGCTTGCCCCAGCTGTGTCTGTCTGCCTTACTTGTAGGTTCCTGACCTTTGCTCTGGCTTTCCACATCACTGGTACCACTGGGTGGGGGAATTTAGGTCATAGAGCATTAGGAGGGAGGGGCCAGCTGGGTATCACTGGGAAGTAAACTGAGGCACATGGAGGCAGGGACTGGGTGAGAAACTGCCTCCCCTGTCCTCTCTGTTGCTGATCCCTTCCCCCACTTCAAGATTAGCTTCCAATTGCTGACACTGCAACAAAAGAGATTTAGGGAACTGATGTCTTAGGAGAGCCCTTCCTCCCTTACCATCAATGCCAGGGAGGGGTGACTCCCCTTTTCCCCTAATACCATACAGTAACCCTTGCACTTCACCTAATGCAAACTGCCAACCTATGCCCCAGGTAACTGACAGGAATCATTGGCTTCCTGGGGGCCCTTCTGCTCTGAGGTTCTGGAGGGCTGAGACTAAAAAGCAGGTTGGGGCTGGGAAGGTGGTTCAGTGGTAGAGCGCTTGCCTCACATACATGAGGACTTAGGTTTGATTCCTCAGCACCACAGAAGCAGAAAAAGCCGGAAGTGGCACTATGGCTCAAGTGGTAGAACGCTAGCCTTGAGCTGAAGAGCTGAGGGACAGCGCCCAGGCCCAGAGTTCAGGCCCCACGACAGACCAAAAAAAAAAAAAGCAGGTGGAAGGTCAGTCACCGGAGGCTCACGCCTGTAATCCTAGCTACTCAAGAGGCTGAGATCTGAGGATCACAGTTCAAAGCCAGTCCAGACAGCAAAGTCTGTGAGACTCTTATCTCCAATTAACCACAAGAAAACCAGAAGTGGCACTGTGGCTCTGTGGCTCAAGTGGTAGAGTGTCTGCCTTGGTGGAGGGAAGGACAGATGACCTGGAACTCTCTCTGCAGCCTTGGGGGAGCAAAGACTTACTCAGGCAATCCCCCACTCCTAGCCTATGTGCTTTATTGTTGGATAAGTTACAGAAGGCACATAGCTAGGCAGACAATCAGCACCTACTAGATGCAGTTTTTCTTTTCTGTTTTTGGTCGGTCGTGGGGCTCGAACTCTGGACTTGGGCACTGTCCCTGCGCTCTTCAGCTCAAGGCGAGCACTCTACTGCTTGAGCTACACCACCACTTCTGAGTTTCTAGTGGTTTATTGGCGATAAGAGTATCACGGACTTTCATGCTCTGGCTGGCTTTGAACCGCGATCTTCAGATCTCAGCCTCCTGAGTAGCTAGGATGACAGGCCTGAGCCACTGGTGCCTGGCTGCAGTTTTTCTTTTATCCATTTCAGCCTCAAATTCCTGATGGTAGCTGAGCTCCTGTCCCACCTTCTCCTCCATTTCTTTTTCCCTCTGATTCTCCATGACTGGAAGTATTGGAGGGCCAGAAAATGCCTCTAAACATGTGTAGAAAGGAAGAGTTTGCTAACAGCCCAGCAACCCTGAGAGGTGGAGGCGTTACCACCCCCTCTTACGCATGAGGAAATGTTCAGACAGCCTTAATGTCAAGCTGTGAAAGGCTCAGAGAGGCCTTCCTCGCTCTGGGGTATCCAGATGTGAGCTTTCCTACCTCTTTTTAAGATTGGCGACACTCTCCCCAGAGATATTTGGGGATGCATGGGGACCTTTGCAGTGCTGCTGGTAGGGAATGGGTAGAGACCAGTGATGTTATACTCAATACCTTGCAGTAGCCAGTACCCTAGACCACAGTACAGACCCAAATGTCATCAGTGACAAGGTAGAGACCCTGTGCTGAGACAGTAGCTGGTCTCTTCCTAGCTCTTCCCATAGGGCCTGGAATGAGATGCTCATATTTGCACACAGACCTTTAGTGATTCAACAAACATATTGGACGGCTCTTCTTGCACATACTCCACAATTCAGCTGGAGCCCCGAGTCATGCTTGTCCTTGAACTGACAGCCCTAGGAGGGAGACAGACATATTTCTATTACAGACAGAAGACATTAGACTCAAGGCAGTCCTAGGGAATCCACAGGTGCTCCAGAGCCAACCCATGCAGTCCTGAGGTGTCACTAAGCCAGAGTTGGGGGTGGGAAGATGGTTACACATGGGTCCAGGAGGTTGACACAAAGCTGCCCAGGCCCCGTCCCACTCCCTGTCTCTCCATCTTCCCCACAGGAGCCGTCACTCTGCTAAGCTTATACCTTCTATTCGGCTACGGGGCCTCTCTTCTGTGCAATCTAATCGGATTTGTATACCCCGCATATGCTTCGTGAGTCCAATGTGGGAGGGGGAGAGGGAGGAGGTCCCCAGATAGCCCCTTGGACCTGCCATTACCTCCTCCCTACAGAATCAAGGCTATCGAAAGCCCAAGCAAAGAAGACGACACTGTGTGGCTCACTTACTGGGTGGTGTACGCTCTGTTCGGTCTGGCCGAGTTCTTCAGCGATCTACTCCTGTTCTGGTTCCCTTTCTACTACGCGGGCAAGGTGGACAGTGCAGCCTTGGCCTGGGGGGGTGGGCGGGGAAGGAAGAGGGGAGGAATCACTAGAACTGTAGCCACACACCTGGGAATAGAGGAGGCAGGGATGATCAGAAGTCTGGGGCTGGGATGGGTCAACACAGCCAGCCCAGGACTGTCTGAGGGTAGAGGCACAGCTCTGCCCAGGGTCCCAAGGCTGGACATTGGGTGTGACTGCTCCCCCCCTCCCCCCATGCCCTCTCTGCACAGTGCGCCTTCCTGTTGTTCTGCATGAGTCCGGGGCAGTGGAACGGAGCCCTAATACTATATCACCGCGTCGTTCGACCACTCTTCCTAAAGCATCACGCAGCCGTGGACCGCGCCCTGAGCCATCTCAGCAGCAAAGCTCTGGACGCAGCAGCAGGAGTAACCAGGGACGGTGGGTATTGGGGGAGACACATGGCTGCCTTTGGTTCATTTTTGCCAATCCTGGGGCTTGAACTCAAAGCCTGGTTGCTGTCCTCTTAGCTTTTCCACTTAAGGTTAAAGTGCTCAACCACTTGAGCCACAGCTCTATTTATGGCTTTTTGATAGTTTATTGGAGATAAGAGTCTCATGGAGGGCTGGGAAGGTGGCTCAGTGGTAGAGTGCTTGCCTTACATGCCTGAGGCCCTGGATTCCTCAGCACCACATAAGCAAAAAGAAAAAAGCCGGAAGTGGCGCTGTGGCTCAAGTGGTAGAGTGCTAGCCTTGAGCTGAAGAGCTGAGGGACAGCGCCCAGGCCCAGAGTTCAGGCCCCACAACCGGGCTCCCCCCCAAAAAAAAAAAAAAGAGTCTCATGGACTGACCGGGCTGGCTTTGAACCTCAGTCCTGAGATCTCAGCCTCCTGAGTAGCTAGGATTACAAGCATGAGTCCCCTAAGCACCTGGCTGTCTTTTGGGTCATGCCTTCATTGTCCATCTGTCCTGGCCCTCCTGGCCTGCTCCCTGCCCCTGCTCACATCTATTTCCCTCTCGTGACTTGGTCCCCACTCCCTCTCTAGCCACTTGACTGGCCCCCTTTCTGAGCTTCGCTGTCTCTCTCTTAATGTCCACCTCTCTTTCCTACGCGGTCCGGGACCAGTACTACAAGCTCTGGCTCGCGGCCGAGCCCTCGTCACCCCAGCACCTGTGGCTCCGGTGGCACTGGCACCGGCGGAGGCAGCGGCAGCGGCAGTGGCACCGGCACCGGTGGCGGCGCAGGCGCAGGCGGAGGCAGCGGCAGTGGCAGCGGCAGCGGCGGCGGCAGCGGCGGCGGCGTCAGCAGCAGCAGTGGAGGAAATCTCTACCACTCAGGAAGCCAGCCAGTGTATGTAACGGGATGAGGACTATATGCTCAGTGCGTGTGTGTGTGTGTGTGTGTGTACGTGTGCATGCCTGGGTGTGTGCTGGGGTGAGCGTGTATATGGGTAAGTGGGTGTATGTCACAGATGTGTGAATCTACTTGTGGCCATGTATGTGTGTGTGATCACCTGCTGAGGATGGCCCCCGCGCCCCTCAAGGTGACCTCCACACTGGCCATCGGAAGCCTAGCCTCACTCTCTAGCATCCCAGCAGCAGAGCACTGGGGGCTAGGGGTGGGGGTGCCTAGCCTGCTTCTTCACCCCTGCCTCCTCCCCTTGCAGCCAAGTCAGGTCTGAGCCCTCGACAGAAGGACAAATGAGGCAGTTCTCTAGTCCCATGGTTGTAGATCATGTGTGCACAGATGATGATGATGATGCCCAGCCCTCAGACACCTCCTCGGACACGCTACTCGAGAACCAACCTAGATCCTTGAGTCCAGGCAAGTCCTCTGGGAGTCCCTTACAAACCACCTCTGGAAACTCTCAGCCTCACTCTCCGGCCACCCCTAGCCCCACATCGAGGGCATCTGGCTCTGCCAGTGGCTCCCAGCTGCCCAGCAAGGCTCAAGGCAGCTCTCGGAGACTCAGCAACTCCAACCGGTCCCAGCAACGTACTCGGCTCTCCAGCACCTCCCCAAGGCCTTCGCAGGCGGCCACACAGTGGAACAGCATCACCACGCAGACACTGCCAATGATCCAGTCGCCCAGTTGCACCACAGTCCCCATGCAGCCTACCAGCAAGGCTCCTAATGAGCCAGGGGACTCTGTCCCCAAGCCCTGCAGACAACGCCATAAGCCTCGGGACAAACAGCCCACCAACAACGGCTGTGTAACAGTGCCCCAGCTGCCTGTACCCTGTCACTCTGAGTCTTCTCGGGAGTACTTATCTGAGTCCACAACCGAGATCACCTGCAACTGGCCTCACTACAGACATGGGCTGCACTGTGCCTGTCACTGCTGGTTCCTGAAACACCTGGCATAATTAAGTGCTACCTGAAACATCTGCCTTTCTGTGTCAGCCACCGGAAACACCTGACCTGCTGGGGCTCCTGACTGAAACACCTGACCTGGGGCTCCCACTTGGAACACTTGGCGCACTGGGACTCCCACCTGACACACCTGCTCCATTGAGGCTCCCACCTGAAACACCTGCTCCATTGAGGCTCCCACCTGAAACACCTGGCCCGCTGGGACTCCCACCTGAAACACCTGGCCCGCTGGGACTCCCACCTGAAACACCTGGCCCGCTGGGACTCCCACCTGAAACACCTGGCCCGCTGGGACTCCCACCTGAAACACCTGGCCCGCTGGGACTCCCACCTGAAACACCTGGCCCGCTGGGACTCCCACCTGAAACACCTGGCCCGCTGGGACTCCCACCTGAAACACCTGGCCCGCTGGGACTCCCACCTGAAACACCTGGCCCGCTGGGACTCCCACCTGAAACACCTGGCCCGCTGGGACTCCCACCTGAAACACCTGCTCCATTGGGACTCCCACCTGAAACACCTGGCCTGCTGGGACTCCCACCTGAAACACCTGGCCTGCTGGGACTCCCACCTGAAACACCTGGCCCGCTGGGACTCCCACCTGAAACACCTGGCCTGCTGGGACTCCCACCTGAAACACCTGGCCTAGTGGGACTCCCACCTGAAACACCTGGCCCAGTGGGACTCCCACCTGAAACACCTGGCCCACTGGGACTCCCACCTGAAACACCTGGCCTGCTGGGACTCCCACCTGAAACACCTGGCCCGCTGGGACTCCCACCTGAAACACCTGGCCCGCTGGGACTCCCACCTGAAACACCTGGCCCGCTGGGACTCCCACCTGAAACACCTGGCCCGCTGGGACTCCCACCTGAAACACCTGCTCCATTGGGACTCCCACCTGAAACACCTGGCCCGCTGGGACTCCCACCTGAAACACCTGGCCTGCTGGGACTCCCACCTGAAACACCTGGCCCGCTGGGACTCCCACCTGAAACACCTGGCCCGCTGGGACTCCCACCTGAAACACCTGGCCCACTAGGACTCCCACCTGAAACACCTGGCCCGCTGGGACTCCCACCTGAAACACCTGGCCCACTAGGACTCCCACCCGAAACACCTGGCCCGCTGGGACTCCCACCCGAAACACCTGGCCCGCTGGGACTCCCACCCGAAACACCTGGCCCGCTGGGACTCCCACCCGAAACACCTGGCCCGCTGGGACTCCCACCCGAAACACCTGGCCCGCTGGGACTCCCACCCGAAACACCTGGCCCGCTGGGACTCCCACCCGAAACACCTGGCCCGCTGGGACTCCCACCCGAAACACCTGGCCCGCTGGGACTCCCACCCGAAACACCTGGCCCGCTGGGACTCCCACCCGAAACACCTGGCCCGCTGGGAATCCCACCCGAAACACCTGGCCCGCTGGGACTCCCACCCGAAACACCTGGCCCGCTGGGACTCCCACCCGAAACACCTGGCCCGCTGGGACTCCCACCCGAAACACCTGGCCCGCTGGGACTCCCACCCGAAACACCTGGCCCGCTGGGACTCCCACCCGAAACACCTGGCCCGCTGGGACTCCCACCCGAAACACCTGGCCCGCTGGGACTCCCACCTGAAACACCTGGCCCGCTGGGACTCCCACCTGAAACACCTGGCCTAGTGGGACTCACAATAAAGTCACCCGCCCAGACTCTTGTGATATCTGGGCTGGGGTTGGGTGGGGGCTGTTAGGCATGAACTTTGAACATGTGGTTGAGCCCTAACTGAGGAAACAAAGGCCCAGCAAGACAAATTTACTAACTCCAGGTCTTACCAAGGGCCAAGACAAATCCAAACCCAGGAAATCCCTGTCCTTGTTTTCTCCTCCTCCTCCTGGACTTGTGGTCCAGTGTAGTCTTTGAACCCCCTGCCTAAAAAATTTTAGGAGGGCTGGAAAGGTAGCTCAGTGGTAGAGTGCTTGCCTTGCATGCCTGAGGCCCTGGGTTCGATTCCTCAGCACCACATAAGCAAAAAGAAAAAAGCCAGAAGTGGTGCTGTGGCTCAAGTGGTAGAGCGCTAGCTTTGAGCTGAAGAGCTGAGGGACAGCGCCCAGGCCCAGAGTTCAGGCCCCATGACCAGACCCCCAAAAAAAAAAAAAAAAAAATTTAGGAAACAGTCACACCTGTGGCTTATACTTGTAATCCTAGCTACTCAATAGGCTGAGACCTGAGGATCATGGTTCGAAGCCAGCTTGGGAGGGAGAATCTGTGAGACTCTTATCTCCAATTAGCCACCAAAAATCCCAAAGTGGAGCTCTGGCTCAAGTGGTAGAGCAACAGCCTTGAACAGAAAAGCCAAGCAAGAGCAGAAGGCCCTGAGTTTAAAACTCAGAACCAGCACACACACACACACACACACACGGAGCCTATCTGTATAAAATATAGTTAGGGCTGGGAAAGTGGCTCAGTGGTAGAGTACTTGCCTTGCATGCATGAGGCCCTGAATTCGGTTCCTCAACACCACATAAATAGAAAAGCCAGAAGTAGTGGTATGGCTCAAGTGGTAGAGCGCTAGCCTTGAGCTGAAGAGCTGAGGGACAGCAGACAGCAGACAAGCCCAGAGTTCAAGCCCCATGACTGACAAAAAAAAATAAAATTATAGTTATAGGAAAGGGATAATAGGGGAGAAATACAGCCGAGAAAAGAGTATGCTGGGAGTCGGCCTGGGCCCTCACCATGTGGCACTGAGTAAAACTTGCTGGCCACCAGCTTCCACCGGGAAGAAGAACAGTCCAGGCAGCCAGACCCTCACAGGCAAAGTTCCCGGGTCAGGACTGAGGCTGGGGTGTGAGGAGCAGTGAGGTGTGGTTTGAGTAGAGGGCAGCTGGTGGAGCAGGGGGCCCCTGGGGAGGGAGCACTTTGGCTTTTACTGGGAAGGTTGCATTTATCAAGTAGGAGAAATTAACCCTCCCTAAAGTGGTTCACTGGTGGTTCATGCCTGTAATTTTGGCTAAGATCTGAGGGTCACAGTGTGAAGTCAACCAGAACAGGAGAGTCCACAAGATTCTTATTACCAATATGCCAGCTAAAATCCCGAAGTGGAAGTGTGGCTCAAGTGGTAGAATGCTAGCCTCAATTGGAAAAAGCAAAGCACACGCGCACACACACACACACACACACACACACACACACACACACACACACACACACACACACACATACAGCCTATCTGCCCAGATGACAATCTTGACCTTTAGCCTCTCATATTTTGTTTTAAATTTAAACATATAGTCATCTGGGCACTGGTGGCTCATTCCTGTAATCCTACCTGCTCAGGAGGCTGAGATCTGAGGATTGATGTTCAAAGCCAACCCAGGCAGAAAAGTCTGTGGAACTCTTCAGTTGATCTGAAGTGGATGTGTGGCTCAAATGATAAAGCATTAATTAGCCTTGAGCAAAAAAACTCAGGGATAGCAGCACCCAGATCCCATTTCAAGCTCCAGGACTAGTACAGAAAAATAAACATACAGCTGTGTGCCGTGGCTCATGCCTGTAATCCTAGCCACTCAGGAGGCTGAGATCTAAGGATCATGGTTCAAAGCCAGCCCAGGCAGGAAAGTCTGTGCGACTCATCTCCAATAAACCACCAGAAAACCAGAAGTGGTGCTGTGGCTCAAGTGGTAGAGCGCTCCCCTTCAGCTGAAGAGCTGAGGGACAGCGCCCAGGCCCAGAGCTCAGGCCCCATGACTGACCAAAAAACAAAACAAAACAACAAAACTCCCATGACCAACAAAGTAAATAAACATACTGGGAAGAGTAGCCCACTGCTCTGGACTTATTCAGGTTTGCCCATAATGTACCCACCCCTCCAAGGGACACCTCTCTCTCTCTCTCTCTCTCTCTCTCTCTCTCTCTCTCTCTCTCCCCTCTCTCTCTCTCTCTCTCTCTCTCTCCTCTCTCTCTCTCTCTCTCTCTCCCCTCTCTCTCTCTCTCTCTTTCTCTCTCTCTCTCTCTCCCCTCTCTCTCTCTCTCTCTCTCTTTCTCTCCTCTCTCTCCTCTCTCTCTCTCTCTCCCCTCTCTCTCTCTCTCTCTCTCTCTCCTCTCTCCCCTCTCTCTCTGTCTCCCCTTCTGTGATGGTGCAGAGGCCTGAATTCAGGGACTTGTGCTCTCCCTTAGATTTTTCTGCTCAAAGCTGATGCTCTACCTCTTGAGGCCCAGCTCTACTTTCAGCATTTTGCTGGTTAATTGGAGACAAGAGCCTCACAGACTTTCTTGCCCCAGTTGGCTTTGAACCTTGATCCTCAGACCTCAATCCTCAGACCTAGCCTCCTGACTAGGATTATAGACATGAGCTGCCAGTACCCAGCTCTCTGTCTCTGTGTGTGTGTGTGTGTGTGTGTGTGTGTGTCTGTCTGTCTGTCTGTCTGTCTCTCTCTCTCTCTCTCTCTCTCTCTCTCAGTCCTGGAGCTTGAACTCAGGGCCTAGGCACTGTCCCTGAGCTTCATTTGCAAGCCACAAAGCCACTTCTGGCTTTTTCTGTTTATGTGGTTCTGAGGAATTGAACCCAGGGCTTCATGCATGCTAGCCAAGCACTCTACCACTTAAGCTGCATCCCCAGCCCCTAGTCCTTAGTTTTTTGTTTGTTTGTTTGTTTTTGGTCAGTCTTGGGGCTTGAACTCTGGGCTTGGGCGCTGTCCCTGCACTCTTCAGCTCAAGGTGAGCGCGCTACTGCTTGAGCCACAGCACCACTTCCGGTTTTCTAGTGGTTTATTGGAGATAAGAGTCTCACGGACTTTCCTACCTGGGCTGGCTTTGAACCTCGATCCTCAGATCTCAGCCTCCTGAGTTGCTAGGATTACAGGCGTGAGCCACCAGCGCCCGGCTAGTCCTTAGTTTGAACTCAGGATTTTTCACTTGTTAGGCAGACACTCTACTGATTGAGCCACACCTCAAGCCCTTTTTGCTCTGGTTGTTGATAAAATAGGATCTCATCTTTTTGCCTGAGCCTGTCTAGTCTGTCATCCTCCTGTTTATTGTTTGTGCTTGTCGTGGGGCTTGGACTCAGGGCCTGGGCGCTGTCCCTGAGCTTTTTTGCTCAAGGCTGGCATTCTATCACTTGAGCTACAGCTCCAAGTCTGGGCTTTTTTGGTGATTAATTGGAGATAAGAGTCTCATGAACTTGGGCTGGGAAGGTAGCTCAGTGGTAGAGTGCTTGCCTTGCATGTATGAGGCCCTGGGTTCAATTCCTCAGCACCACATAAGCAGAAAAAGCTGGAAGTGGCGCTGTGGCTCAAGTGGTAGAGCACTAGCCTTGAGGTGAAGAGCTGAGGGACAGTGCCCAGACCCTGAGTTCAGGCCCCATGACCAGCAAAAAAAAATAAAAAAAGATTGTCATAAAAAAAAAAAAAAAAGAGTCTCATGAACTTTCCTGCCTCTGGGCTATCTTCGAATTGTGATCCTCAGATCTCAGCCTTCTGCCGGGCACTGGTGGCTCATGCTTGTAATCCTTGCTTCTCAGGAGGTTGAGATCTGAGGATCTCGGTTCAAAGCCAGGCAGGAAAGTCCATGAAACTCTTATCTCCAATAAACCTCTAGAAAACCGGAAGTGGTGCTGTGGTTCTAGTGGTAGAGCGCTTGCCTTCAGCTGAAGAGCTCAGGGACAGTGCCCAGGCCCAGAGTACAAGCCCCACAACCAACCAAAAAAGCAAAAACAAAAAAACAAAACAATGAGTTGCTAGGATTACAAGCATGAGCCACCAGTGCCCTGCCATCCTATTTATTTATGCTTTCCACTGTAGCTGGAGTAGCAAGTGAATGCCACCATACCCAGCTATTGCAATGGCGTCTTTCAAAGTTTGGGTTTGGGTTTGGCCTTTCCCAATGTTCAACTCCTGAATAGAATTATAGATATGAGCCAGCATGCCTGGCATGTGTGTCTCTTAGAAGGACATTTGTAATTAGACTTAGGACTACTCTAATCCAGGATTACATCATCTTAATCCTTTTAATTACATCTTTTACCACGTGAGGTGACCTTCACCATCTCTATTCAAGCCTCCACATCCACAACTCTGCAGCATCTCTGCCTGCCTACTGGTTGTAACAGACAGACCACGCTGTGTCTCTTCACAGCTTTACCCAGTAACTGTTGGGCACCGTGGAGCCAACGGAGACTGGGGTATGCAACAGCCAATCCCTCGTAGGCTGGAGGAGACACTATGTCTATAGAGAATAATAGCTGAGCAAGTAATCCTAGCCCTGCAGAGGTTAAAGCCAATCTTAGCTGCAGAGCAAGACTTGAGCTCAAAGCCAGGCACTGATGACTTATACCTGTAATCCTCAGGAGGCTGAGATCTGAGGACTGCAGTCCAAAGCCAGCCTGGGCAGGAAAGTCTATTAGACAAATGTGGGAGTGGAGATCTGGATCAAGTGGTAGAATGCCACTGGTAGAATGTACCTGAGCAAAAAAGCTCAGGGAGAGTTCAGGCCCTGAATTCAAGTTCCAGGCTAGCATACAAATATATCTATATTATCTCTCTCTCTCTCTCTCACATGTATAAATCTCATGTGCTTAGCATTGACATCACCAACTTGAATTTTGCAATGTTACGAATAAAATAAAATCTTCCTCAGGGAAAAAAGAAATTGGGGGTGGTGGTCGGTGGTTGCCAGGCTGGTGTTCTACCAATGACCCATCCTCTCAGCCCTTTATGCTTTAGCTATATTTTAGTCTCAGATGTTTACCCAGGCTGGCCTGAACCATGACATCTGTATCTATGTGTCCTGTGTATCTGGGATGACAGGGATCTATAACTGTGCCCAGCTTCTGATTCATTGAGATGAGGTTTCTTGAATGTTTTGCTAGGGTCAGTGTCTACTAGCTGAAATGACAGGTATGAACTATAGCGCCTTCGCTGGAAATATCCTGGGGGTAATGGAATAATTGCTATACTCTTCCTTCTGTTTCCCACAAATAAGTCACAAGCTCACCATATTCATTATTTGACTATTTTTGTTGTTGTTGGTGGTGGTCATGGGGCTTGAACTAAAGGCCTGGGCACTGTCTCTGGGCTCTTTTATTCAAGGCTAGTGCTCTATCATTTTGAGCCACAGAGCCACTTCCAGTTTTCTGGTGGTTAATTGGAGATCAGAGGCTCATAGACTTTCCTGCCTGGGCTAGCTTCCAACTGCGATCCTCAGATCTCCGCCTCTTGAGTAGCTAGGATTACAGGCGTGAGCCACCAGAGCCTGGCTTGACTTTATTTTTATGTTTTCTGTGCCAGAACGGGGGCTTCAGCTCAGGATCTGCTGTCCCTTAGCTCTCTCTCTCAAGGGCCACACACTACCACCTGGGCCACAGCTCCACCTCCAGCTTCTATTGGTTAAATGGAGCTAAGAGTCTCACAGACATTCCTGCCCAGGCTGGCTCTGGACCTTGATCCTCAGATCTCAGCTTCCTGTGTAGCCCAGGTTACAGTCATGGAGCACCAGCACATGGCATTGTCATCTGCAGTTTTTGGTTTTGTTTTTGTTTTTATTTTTGTCAGTCGTGGGGCCTGAACTCTGGGCTTGGGTGCTGTCCCTCAGCTCTTCAGCTCCAGACTAGTGCTCTAACTCTAGAGCCATAGCGCCACTTCCAGCTTTTTCTGCTCATGTGGTGTTGACGTATGGAACTCAGGGCCTCATGCATGCAAGGCAAGCACTGAGCCACCTTCCCAGCCCCTCATCTGCAGTTTTTATTATTGCTTATAATGTAATTAATGACAGAGATCTTCCTGTTCTTGCTGGATAAGGATGATGTCTCCTTGCCAATTATGTTGGTTTCAGTAGCTTCAGTACTAAGGACTTTCCTTCCCTTTATTAGATTGTTCCAAAGCCAGAGAACAAATCAAGACAATGACTTTTATTACCAGTGGTCAGAGAACAATCACAAGAAGGAGTCATTCTGTCTCTGAGTCTGGTTCTGATTTTTTTGGTTTTCTGTGTCAGTCCTGGAGCTTGAACTCAGTACCTGGGCACTGTTCACTCCATCATTTGAGCCACAGCTCCATCTTTGGTGCTTAATTAGAGATCAGAGTTTCACAGAGCTTCCTGCCTAGGCTAGCTTTGAACGGTGAGGTCCTCAGATCTCAGCTTCTAGAGTAGCTATGATTACAGGCGAGCCACTGGTGCCTGGCTTGGGTCTGGGTTCTGAGATGACAGTGGTTACAGAGGCAAGCCAGACAGCCTCCTGCTAGCACAGCCAGCTGCCTTGTCTTTCACAGCCCGTCCTGGCTTTTCTGCCTTGTTCTGCATCACAAACAGCAGGCCACAACTGGAGGTCTGAGTGTGTGGACCCTGGACACGTCTATTTGGTTCCAGGTAGCCATTTGGGGATTAATGGCTGAGGAATCTCCATTCCCTGATTTATCCCAACCCACAGAAGCAGAGGAGACAGCTGTGGGAACCCAAGAGGATGGAAACTGAGGTGTGAATGGGGACAAAATAGTCCAGGAAAGTAACCACAGGGCCCCTAGGGGATGTGGACAGCTGGGTGAACGGAAGCCCTGGTTGTCCCTCGTTCTGCCACTAGGGGGTGCGAAGGCACCACACATCTCTCCTGAATTGGCCTAGCCCGTAGCACAAGGTTGGGAAGGGGGCGCTGTGGCAACCTTGGCCTGCAGCACCTGTAGCTGACACACCAAAGTGCCTGAGCTACTGCACAGACTGCTGGGTCCTTGGCACACTGCAGGTGCTCAATAAATACTGCTGGAATGCCTGAATGGAGGGGCAAAGGAGGGACCCCAGGAGAGGACCACCTCCCCAGGGGCTTAAATGAGACATAGGCCTGAGGCCCCTAGAAAGGGAAGGAGCTAGGCCTTAACCAATTCCTCTTATGTTGGCTGCCCTGTTCCTCTCCCTCTGCCCTTTACCCACCAGCAGCCCCTAGAGGGGGACTCTGAAGGGCACAACTGCAGTCAGTGGTCAGCAAGACCCCATGGGGCAGAGGTGATAGCCAGGATGAGCCACTGGGACCCAAGAAAACCCAAGCTGGGCCAGGCACCGGTGACTCACGCCTGTAATCAGAAGGCTGAGATTTGAGGATTGAGGTTCAAAGCCAGCCCAGGCAGGAAAATTCTATGAGACTTCTTTAGTTAACCAGCAAAAAAAAAGGCCTTGAAGTGGAGCTGTGGTTCAAGTGGCCGAGCACCAGCCTTGAGCAAAAAAAACGCTAAAGGAAAGGGAGAGACCCTGAGTTCAAGTTCTAGTACCAACACACACACACACACAAACCCAAGCTGGGCTGCTGTAGAGAAGCAGATTGTCCCCAGCAAGGGGAGAAAGCAGACGGGGGCTGACGTTCCTCTAGCTATCTACTGCTTCCAGAAGAATCTACTGCTTCCAGAAGATAGAACTCAGGAGGCGAGCGATGTGGGGCTCAGGGGCTAAAAGAGCCCTTTTCCCTGTCCCATCCTTGTGTATTTCTTGTCCTTGCCTGGGCGCTGGTGAGGCATGCAGGGGAGAGGTGGAGAGGTGACAAGGTCATCCTGTGACCCCAGGGTGACAAGTTTCTGAGGATGAATATATACAGGTGCAATATTTTGGAAAAAGTAATTAAAAAGAAACCTCAGTCTGTTGACTGAAGGAAACTCAGCTAGAGCGCAAAATTAGGTGAGCCTCCCGGTAGCTAGGACAAAAGGAGGAAATAAGTAGACTACAGTTGCCTTTGTAAGCATGTCTCCTTAAAGGGTATGGCAGTCTGTGAATACACAAGGGATGTGTATGTGTCTGAGAGAGAAAAATGAGCACACAACATGTCTGAGTTAAAGAGTGAGGAGCTTCATGGTGCCAGGCAAAGATGGAGAAGTACATTATAATGTCTTTTTAGGTAGGTCTTGCTCTTGGACATGCTTATTCATGACTAAGCAATTGAGTGCCAGGCAAGGAGAACTACAAGACACAACATTTCTGACTGTAAATAATAGCTATGAGCTTCCTGGCAGCCAAGATGAGAAGAGAAATAAGAGTTCGCATCTGCTCAGTCTTAGTGTATCCTCACCAGGGCCTATCTGCTTGTGACAATGGATCCAACTGCATGCAAAGGTGTCTGTGTGACAGGGAAATCACAGGGCTGCATATGGGAGCTATTGGAAATTTCCTGGGTGAGGGTGAGCCATGGAGAAAGGACAAATTGCATTGAGTTTGAGGTCTGTCAGGTGTGCTGTTCTTGCTGTGTGTAGTGAAGGCATCCTCTCGGGGTTCAGAGAGGACAACGGCGGGAGGCCAGTCGAGCCCTGCTGTCCTCAGCTGGGCTCCAAGGCCGGGCATAGCCAGCGTAAGGCAGCAGCAGCCGGTCTTGTGTGCCGTCAGGGCTGACGAGGCGCCTGACAGCCAGCAGGTAATCTCGGTGGGGAGCCAGTGGTGGGCAGGGGCAGTGGCCTGGTGCCCACACATACTCTCGAGGCCGTAGTGGTGAGCGGTTCTTATAAATCAGCAGGATTCGAACTTCATACTGGGTTTCCTGGGCTTGGCGGTGGCGGCTCAGAACTTGGGCTTGGAACACTGTGGGCAGGGCCAGGATGAGGGTCAGCAGAGCCAGGTCAAGGGTCAATGATGGGTTAGAAGTCTCAACCAGCGAGTCAAATAAGAGCCTGGCACCAGTAATCCCAGCTCTTCAGGAGGCTGAAATCTGAGGGTCACAGTTCCAGGCCAGCCTGGGCAGTTAAGTCCTTGCGACTGGTATCTCCAGCAAAAAGCTGGAAGTGAAACTCTTGCTCCAATTGGTAGAGCACTAGCTCAGGGACAATCCCTAGGCCCCGAGTTTAAGCCCCAAGACTGGTACAACAAAATAAAAAAGGGGTCATATGAGGTCAGAGGTCGTCAGGTCTAGTTGTTCAGGGCTGGGTGAGGGTCGGGGCCGGGGTCTCACCAAAGTCGCTGCCGCAGTAATGGAGCAGCCGGTGGGCGCGACCGCGGGTGTCGGGGCACGGTGGGCAGGAGTCTGCGGGGGACAGTGCTGTGAGGGGAGGGGATCACCCCTCCCGCAGACCCCACCCCAGGGCACCGCACCTCACCTGGGGGCGGGGTCCGGGCCCTCGTGGGGCCGGCCGCGGGGGGAAGGTCCGGGGGCGGGGGCTCCACCTCCCGGGGCTGAGGCTGCCGCAGGGCCCCGCCCGGGGTCTGCGCCTGCGCCTGGAAGGGGCCGTAGCGCTCCCGAGGGAGCCAGAACTCAAAGTGCACCCCGGGGTTGGGCTCCTGCAGGAGGACCTGGCGAGGAGGGGCGGGGCCGGGGGCTGACCCGTGGGTCCCCCGCGGGACCCCAGCCTGCACCCCCTCACCCCGCCTCCCGCTCAGATCCTCTTCCTGCGGACCAGGTCCCAGCCTCCCTGCTCAGACTAACCCAAGTTTCACCCTCCCGAGACTCCGTCCCCGGATGCTGACCTCTGACCTCCCCCCACCTCCCGGAGCCCCCCCCCCCCGCCCCGCACCTGCAGGAGCAGGTCTTGGGAGGTGGGGCCGGCGGCGTGCAGCGTCTCCTCGGGCCCCGGGGCCCGGATGTAGACCACGCGGGTGCCCGCGGCCTCGAAGGTGCCGGGCGGGCTGACCGCCCCGTGCCCGTTGAGCACGTAGCGCCCGTCGCCCGTCAGCAGCGCTGCAAGGGAAGGCCTCTGGGCGCCCGCACGCCCCGTTCCCACCGCCCCGGCCTCGGGTGCCCCACCCCTGCCCGACAACCGCCTCCCACTCGGGCCTCCACCGTACCCAGGTGGTTGCGGCTGCGCTGGGCCACGCGGATGTGTCTGGCGCCCTCGGGGATCAGGGTCACGTTCCAGTAGCCCGCGAAGGCACCTGCGCGGGAGAATATGGGGGGTGCCCGCGGGGGGCGGGGGGGCGTTTGATCGGGGATGTGAGGACTCCGTGAGACACGTCGAGGAGGCAACTAGTTAACTAGGTCCGCGCGAGCGACTGGAGGCGCGGGGAGCGCTACAGCGCGGCAGGGAAAGGGTGGGAGTCCTATCGCTTCCGGGGAGGGTGGGACGACCTACGAAGAGCCAATCAGAAGGACGGGCGCGAGGGGCTGGGCCTCAGGCTGCCCAATCAGCATGGGCCTTTGCTTCCGGGGGAGGGTGAGGGGGGGCGTGACTGGTTAAAGGGTCCGCTCCGAGGTGATGCGAGGGGCGGGACGGGGCGGGACGGGGCGGGGCGGGGCGGGGCGGTCACCGGCGTCACGGAACACGCGCTGCACGAAGAGGCAAGAGTCATTGGCACCACCACAGCGGCCGCATCGGTCCTCGAGGGCGCCCGAGCCCAGTACCCCGTCACAGCCGGCACTCTAGAGTCAGGGACACGCGGTTCACCGGCTTAGACGCGGCTGGCGGGGAGCGGGAGGAGAGGGCGGGGACTGGGGGCTCAAAGGCGCCGGGGGCCGACGTCTGTCATCCCAGCTACTCCGGAGGCTGAGATCTGAGGATCGCGGTTCGAAGCCAGCCCGGGCAGGAGAGTCCCCTTGGGCCTCTTACCTCCAATGAACCACTCAAAAACCGGAAGTGGCGCTGTGGCCCACGTGGTAGGGCGCTGGCCTGGAGCTGCAGAGCTGAGGGACAGCGCCTGGGCCCCGAGTTCGAGCCTCAGGACGGAGGGGGTGGGATGGGGAGGGGCCCGGCCTGGATGAGCGCGGCGGGGGCCCGGCGCATCCTTACCAGACAGCGGCCAGCCACGCAGAGACCCTGGGCTCCTGGGCTGCAGGGGGTACCGTCTAGGACGCGGCCAAAGCTGTGGTAGAAAGTATGCCCCTGGGCCAGGCAGTTGAGCTCACACTGATTGGGCGCTGCAGGGTGAGAGGAGTGGGGGAGCTGGGGTCGCAGTCCCCAACCTCCTCCACCCAATGAGACTAAGAGGTTCAGCCAAAGTTACACCTCGAGGCTGAAGCACAGCCAGGTCTGGAACCCCAGCCTACGCTGCCTCCAGTAATGTGGCCTCTCCCAGGCAAGTACTCCAGATTAGACTAGGTCTACTCTTGAAGGTGCTATCCATAATTAACCTCCTTGCCATCCTTCTTTCCTTCCTTCAGTGTTGTACACTGACTCCGCACACCTACTGTTTGCTAGACACCGTTGCCAGCACCAGGCAGAACTCAGTTCTTGGGCCAGCACCAAGCTCCTGCCCCTCCCACTCAGGTCTGGGCCTCTTTCTAACCTAACTGCCCCACCCTCTCCATCAGACCACACCCCCTCTACCCTCCAGGTCTCCCTAGATCCCCACCTCCCACCTTCTTTTTCCAGGCCTTGCCCCAGATCTCAATCAGTTTCATTTCAGTTACCCATCCCATTCAGACCCAGTAAAAAGTTTGTCCGAACTGAGGGAGTAAGGTGTAGCCTGGGCCTCAGTTTCCCTTGAGCCAAATAGGCTATGTGGCACATAGCCCAGATGCCAGCCTGAGCTTCAAACTTGGGCTCTCCACCCAGCTGGGCCTGGTGGGCAGACAGCCTAGTCAGATCAGGAGCTGGTGGAGGCTGGCCTCTGTTAGGGGTGGGATTTCCACAAGGTTCCTTCAATTCTCAGGGCAAAAGCAAGAAGAGGCAGAAAACCAGCCCAGGAGGCTGAAGGGTGGAACTTTTCCCCATCTCAGGTTTTTCTTATCTATGTGTCTCCACGACGGTGTCTGAAGCTGCCAGTCTCCCTTCAATCTGGAGGCGTGCTGCCCCGGGCACCCAGTTATATAACTCGCTATTTTCAGCTCAGTGCGACATTTCCTGTTACTGGGATAAGTTAAAGAACCGTTGGCCTCTGGATACAGCACTGAGTAAATCCTCAGGCTGGTGTTTGGCCTCTGCAGAATGGACCCCGCTTCCTTCGGTCACTGCTTCTTGCTTTACTTCACCAGCTCCTACATAGCCTTCAAAGCCCCAGTGCCAATGTCCCCATTCTCTGTGCAAGTCTCTAATTCCCTTTCTCCTCCTGAGCCAGCTCTGACAAAAGGCTAGGTCACTCACCCCCGTAGAAGGGCACCCATTGGTAGGTCTTCTGGGTGCCCAGGACTGGGCGGCCATTGTAGAGTGCACACTGTATGTCCCTGAAGGGTACGGCCCCTGGGGGACATTCCTGGGGGTAGAAAGAGGTGTGTCAACTCCAGGGAGCCCCGGGAACCTGGAGGCATGGCAAGGCGTACGTGGAGCATCTGTGGGGAAGGGAGAGGGATTCAGGGCAGGCTGGGGGGGGGGGGGGGGGATGTGAACCCAGCTTACTGGCAGCTGGCAGAGGCGGTACTCATGGCTGTCCCCCCAGCACGGGTCTTCCTCAGGGAACCTGAGGGGAGCAGGGTGGCTTGAGCTCGGACTACAACTCCTGGGGACTCCCCGCCCAGTCCACCCTCCGCCCACACCAGCCCCACCCGCATTCCAGTTGGGCCCTAGGGATGAAAGGGCACAGCATGTGTGGGCAGGCAGGGGGTGGGGCCTGGGAGGGGCGGGGCCGCGGCGGGGCGGGGCCGCGGCGGGGCGGGGCCGCGGCGGGGCGGGGCCGCGGCGGGGCGGGGCCGCGGCGGGGCGGGGCCGCGGCGGGGCGGGGCCGCGGCGGGGCGGGGCCGCGGCGGGGCGGGGCCGCGGCGGGGCGGGGCCGCGGCGGGGCGGGGCCGCGGCGGGGCGGGGCCTCGCCCCCTCCCCTCACCGGATGCAGCGCCGGCTGCGCACCGAGACGCCCCGCCCGCAGGAGCTGGAACAGCGGCTCCAGGACCCCCACGGCGTCCACTCTCCCGGACCCTACTTGGGGAGACAGAGGCCGGTCAGCCTGGAGACGAGAGCAAGACCCCACACACTGCCCACCACGTCCTCATCCGACCCCTGGGCTCCTGCTCCCCACTTACCTGAGCACTGCCCCCCAAACTACAACTTAGGAGGGTCCACAGCAAAAGCAGAAGGTTCTGGAAGAGACGAAGTCTGGGGGGAGCAAGGGGGTTCTCTCCAACTGGTGGCCGCAGGAGGCGGGAGCTGAGCCTCATCTCTGCCCTGGCTGGCTGCACAGTACCCAGTAACAGTAGCTAAACCTCTCTGAGCTCCTTTGTCATCTCTGAAAAGATCGGAGGTATGGTAGCCCCCTCCTCCACCCCGCTCTGCAGGAAAGTTTTGCATTTTGGGTTTGTTGTTGTTGCTGTGTTGGTCGTGGGGCTTGAACTCTGGGCCTGGGGGCTGTCCCTGCGCTCTTCAGCCCAAGGCGGGCTCTCTACCACTTAAGCCACCACAGCGCCACCTCTGGTTTTCTGGTGTTTCGTTGGAGATAAGTTTCACAGACTTTCCTGCCCGGGCTGGCTTTGAACGGTGATCCTCAGATCAGCCTCCTGAGTAGCTAGGATTACAGGTGTGAGCCACCAGGAGCCCACCTGAAGGAAAGTTTTGGAGGGTTGATTGAATCAAATAGAGTGAGACTGTTACATGCTATTACTGAGTATTCCAAATGCACACTATAGGGGCTTGACCAGTGTTTGCTGATTGAAGGAATCATTGCACAGATCGGCCCCCTCATCATTCTCCCTGTCATCAATGTTTCTACCTTCCTCTGTGGCCAGGGACCAGCCATTGCGCTTCTTGGGACCTCAGTTTCCCCATTTGTGCACTGTAGGCCAGCTGGACTCAGTCCATGATTCTAGGAGACCCTGCAGAGGGTGTGAGCAGTGGGGTTGAGTCAGATGCTAAGTCCCTGCCAGAGTCCCCTCCTCCCCTCCTCCAACTGAGGCAGTCCCAGGATCAGGGAGGCAGGGAGGGGTGACCTGGCCCCAGTCCAGCGGTGGCCTCATGGTCTCACAGCAGAGGGTGTGGGAGGGAGTGCCCAATGGCCTGCCTGGGGAGGAAGAGGGTGAGATGAGCCTAACCAGGGGAAAGGAGGCAGCTGGGGCCTCAGTTTCCCCAGTTGTCCCCTCTGCAGAGAGGGATGAACTTACTCTGACACCCAGACACCCACACCCTCCTCAAGATCAAGGCTGCCCTCTTGACCCACAGCTGGGTGACCCGCTTGGTCCCCACCCCGCTGTGAGTTGGATAGAGCAGGGCTGGCCCAGGAAGCAGGAAGCCATGGGGACTGACAGCTAAGCTGGGGCAGGGGGCTTAGCCCGGGGATAGGGGGTGGGGTGGGCACGGGGCCTGGACCACTGGGGTGGGTGCGCTGCAAAGACTACCAGCCCACTGCGCTCTAATTCCCAAAGCAGCAGCCCGCTCCTCTGCTGGCTGCCCCACTGCTTTGGGGGGGGGGGTAAGCCAGGTTCCTGGGCCTCAGTTTCCCCAGGAAGATGTGGGATCACTGAGCTCACTGGCTCTGCCTTCATCGATCCTCCACCCGGTAGAGACGCGGGAGGGCAAAGACCGTGAGGTCACCGGGCCAGGATGGTGGTAGGATAGGAAGAAGGACTTACCCGGTGGCGTAGAGCCCAGGCAGCGGTTCCGGGCTTCCCGGGCGGCCCTAGAACGAGCGGAAACGGCGGGGCCCGAGGTGTGGGTGGGGGAGCTCCGGCCGCCCCGCCCTGCCGGAGCCTCCGGGACGCGCCCCGGCCCCGGGGCCGCAGGGTCCAGGCCCGACGCGCCCCCGCGCGGCCGGATCCGAGGCCAGGTGCGGATTGTCCGACGGGAGCCCGGTGGCGTCCGCGACCTTGGGAAGCCGGGCGGAGGGAGGGGGGAAGGGGGGGCGGGCAGGACGCGGGCCCCGGCCCCCCTTCACCCCACCCAGGGCTGCTATTCCGGGCGCCGCGCTCAGGGCCCGGGAATGCGCGCGCGGAGGTCGCCCTGCGCGGGGACGGGAGTCCGGGAGCCTCCCCGCGGACCCGGGACTGCGACCCCTGCGGGGACCTTTACGCTCCCGATCCCTTCCTTCCTTCCTTCCTCTCTCGGGGTTCCCCCGCTCCTGGTCTCCGCACCCCATCCGCCCCCCCCCCCCCCCCCGCGCACTGGGGAGAAGTTCGCCCCGGGGCCGGGCGTGGGGGGCGGAGAGACCCTCCCAGCTGGCGCATTCCCGGGCGCTGCTGTCACCCGGGCGCGCCCCACCCCGCCTCACCCCCCCTCCCCGCCCTCACACACCTCCCCCCGGCCCGGCCCCCCGCCTGCCAGCGCCGCTCCCCAGCCAGTCCCGGGGCCAGGAGGCGCCTTCCTAGTCTCCCGGCAAGGTGAGTCCTGGCCTCGCCCTCTCCAGCCTCAGTTTCCCCATCCCGTCAAAGAGTCTCCCCGTGGACCTGTCGGGTGGACCTGGACTTTTCTGCTCAGACCAGCAACCCCTGGGACACCCCAAGAGCTCCCAGCACCCAACCTCGTGGTCGCGGCGTCCGGTGGCCCCCACCAGCTTGTCTCGCCATCGCCCCACGGCGCCCCCTGGCGCTTGGCTGGGGGTTGAGCAGGGTCGGTGGATATCTGTGCTCTGCCCCCCGTCCCACCCCCCCCACCCTCCCGCCCCAGGTTTGGCCCAGGTTCAGCTCCCATGTCCCCCACTTCAGGAAATCCACTTTTCCTGTGTGTATGAGCCAGTCCTGGAACTTGAACTCAGGACCTGGGTGCTGTCCTAAACCTCTGTAGGCTGGTGCTCTACCACTTGAGCCACTTCCTTGGAGATAAGAGTCTCATGGACTTTTCTGCCCCGGGTTCGCTTTGAACCTCGATCCTCAGATCTCAGCCTCCTGAGCAGCTAACCTTGAGGCCCTCCCCCCAGTGTCTGTCCAGCTCTTCCAGCCTGGGAGGGCCTCAGAGCAGAGCCACCCAGTGCCACTTACTGAGCACCGTCATACCCCGTGCCCGCGCAGACATTCACAGCTGGGAGTGTGTAATCCCAGCTTTCCATCTGGAAGCTTGAGGAAGTACCCAGGCCCACTATAGGGGAGGGTGGAGAGGAGCCCCCTCTCAGAGACAGTGGGGCAGCCCTGGCCAGGGTGAGTATGTGCTGGGTACGATGAGGTGGACTGGAGAAGCAGAGGATGGGTAATGCCAGTAGAGGGGGGGGTGCTCTAACTCTGGCTGCTGTGGGGGCGGGAGGCGATGAGGACTGGGACTAAACTGGGTACAGTGGGTAGTTCCTGCCCTATTTGGAGGCAGAATCGTGTGTGTGTGCATGCACGCGCACATAAGCATGCGCACCAGAACTGGGGCTTGAATTCAGAGCCTTATGCTCTCACTTGGCTTTTCCATTCAAGGCTGGTGCTCTACCATTTGAGCCACACCTCCACTTCTGGCTTTTTGCTGGTAGATTGGCGATAAGAATCTCATGGACTTTCCTGCGTGGACTGGCTTCCAACTGGGACCCTCTGATCTTAGCCTCCTGAGTAGCTAGGATGAAAGGCACAAGCCACCAATGCACAGCTTTAGAGGTAAAATCTACAGCAGTTAAAGTTGCACCCCCACTGAACAAGAGTGGGGTTGGTGGGGGTGGGCCTTCAGAAGAGGGTTGGTGGCTGTTGGCCTTCAGAAGAGTATGTGGGTATCATAGCATTGGGGGTCCTGAGTCCTGGATGAAATCAGAGCTTGAGTATCAGAGACCCCAGGAGAGAAGGAGAGCAGGCCAGCCAGAATAGGAGTGGCAGAAAGTGGTCATGGACCACAGTGGTAACGCTGAGGAGCAGGGCCTGGGTGGGGTGATAAGCTTGGTTAGCAGGAATAGAGGGGGTAAGAGGAGGGCATCTGCGCCAGGCAGTGCAGAGACCCTCTGCTGAGTACCTATAGGAAGTGTATTAGAACAGGCACTGAATCCTGGACAAGAAAAAATTATGGGAAGCCAGGTGCCAGTAGCTCACACCTATAATCCTAGCAACTCCGGAGGCTGAGATCTGAGGATTGTGGTTCAAAGCCAGCCTGGGCAGGAAAGTCCATGAAATTCTTATCTCCAATGACTCACCAAAAATCCAAAAGCGGAGCCGTGGCTCAGTTGGTAGAGCATCAGCCTTGAGCAAAAATGCTCTGAGACAGCACTCAGGCCCTAAGTTCAAGCCTAGGACTGGCAAAAAAACAAAGAGTTGTGGGGTCCTGCCTCTCCTCACTCTTGATCACACAGCAGGAGATGCAGATAGCATGTTCCCCAGGGGGCTCTGAAGTGGCATCTGGCGAAGGGCAGGGCAGGGCAGGCTGCTCTGGTGCTGATGTTCTCAGTGACCCAGGGAGGGGGCTTCTGGCTTCCCTTCCCCACTGGGTCTTTTTTTTTTTTTTTTGTCAATTGTAGGTCTTGAACTCAGGGTCTGGGTGCTGTCCCTGAAGCTTTTGCTCAAGGCTATCACTCTACCACTTTGAGCCACAGCACCACTTCTTATGTTCTGGCACTTAATTGGACATAATAGTCTTTTGGACTTTCCTGTCCAGGCTGGCTTTGAACTGGGTGCCCGGCGCCCACCAGTTCTTTGTGTGGTCTCTGGCCTAGAAGTAGGTAAGCTGGGTCTCCTACTCTGAGCTCCAGCCAGAAGCCCCTCCTTGGGGCAGGGTATTAAGGCTCAGCCTCACTAGCCTGCTTCTGTGGGCTCAGAGACGTGGACTTAAGAACCTGGCTCCTTTCATTAAAAGCATGGTTTTATGAACTTGAACATTAGTTCAGAGCTCAGGTGCAGGTAGCTCATAGCTGTAATCCTAGCTACGTAGGAGGATGGGATCTGAAGATCTCTGGTTCAAAGCTAACCTGGGCAAGAAAATACATGAAACTCTTATTTCCAATGAACCACAAAAAGCCAGAAGTGCAGGTATGCCTTTGTTGTAGAGTTGTAGAGTGCTAGCCTTGAGAAAAAAAGAAAAAAGCCAGGACAGAGATCGAAGTCCTAAGTTCAAGCCCCAGTGCCAGCTTAACTAATGTCCTCTTGTCTGTCCCAGGATGGCTTATGACATTGAGCTTGCTCTCATAATTAGAAAAGACTGGCTCGATGGAAACAGACTTGCTGTGGAAATGAACCACTGGTGCTGATGCTCACGCAGCACCTTCCACACTACCAGAGGGGATCGATGTTAGCATAGAGGTCAGTGATGCAGGAGGAAAGGGGGAGAGAGGAAGTGGGCAGGGGCCTGCCCTGCAGCGGCACCTGCTGTGTGTGTGTTGGGGGTAACACCCAAGATGCCTACTCTGCCCACGGGAACTGGGACGCTCAGGGAGGCTACCCAGCAGGTCTGGATGAAGCATCTTCTGGGCACACAGCAGGGTACCAGGACCAAGGCTGGATCTAGTACCTGTGAGTAAACTTCCTTTCTGTCCTTTCTGGACAGAAAACCAACAAAGGGAAAAAAGTAAACCATCAGATTGTGATGGAATAGAATGCAAGTGACACGAATTAAGGGTACAGAATTGTGGGATGACCTCCTGGGCAAAGTGACCTCAACTATGACAAGACATCAGGTGAAGATTCAGGGCCTGTAATCCTACCTACTCAGGAGGCTGAGATCTGAGGATCGAGGTTGGAAGCCAGCCTTGGTAAGAAAGTCTATGAGACTCTTATTTCCAATGAACTACTACAAAAGCCGAAAGTGGAGATGTGGCTCAACTGGTAGTGCACTAGCCTCCAGCAAACAAAGCCCAGGCTATGAAGTCAAGCCTCAGCTCTAAAAAAAAAGATTCAGGGAAGCCAGGCGCCAGTAGCTCATGCCTATAATCCTAGCTACTCAGGAGGCTGAGATCTGAGGATTGCAGTTCAAAGCCAGCCCAGGGACTGGGAAGGTGGCTCAGTGGTAGAATGCTTGCCTTGCATGCATGAGACCCTGGGTTTGATTCCACAGTACCCCATAAGCAGAAAAAGCCAGAAGTGGCGCTGTGGCTCAAGTGGTAGAATGCTAGCCTTGAGCTGAAGAGCTGAGGGACAGCACCCAGGCCTAGAGTTCAGGCCCCATGACCGGCAAAAAAAAAAAAAAAAAAAAACCAGCCCAGGCAGGAAAGTCTGTGAGACTCTTATCTCCAATAAACCACCAGAAAACTGGAAGTGGCACTGTGGCTCAAGTGGTAGAGCACTTGCCAGAAGCTGAAGAGCTGAGGGACAGGGCCAGGCCCAGGGTTAAAGCCCCAATCATGGCCAATCATGGGGGCTCCAGAAAAGAAAATTCAGGGGTAAAGAGTAAAGGTAAAGTAAAATAGCATGTGCAAAGGCTCTGAAGTGAGGTGAGCTTGTTGGAGATTCAAAGGTCAACAAAGAATCTGGTAGCAAATTTGTGATAACCCCTGTCAGAGCTTATTTAGACAAGATTTTTAATTTTTTTAATTTTTTATTTATTTTTTGTTGGGTCTCGGGGCTTGAACTCTGGGCCTGGGCGCTGTCCCTCAGCTCTTCAGCTTAAAGCTAGCGCTCTACCTCTTGAGCCACAGTGCCACTTCCAGCCTTTTCTGCTTATGTGGTGCTGAGGAATCGAACCCAGGGCCTCATGCATGCAAAGCACGAACTCAACCACTGAACCACCTTCTCAGCCCCGCTTAGACAATATTTTTGGAAGAAGAGGTCCCAGGAGAAAGAAGAGGCAGCTTCTAAGGATGACCAGAAAAAATTCAGCCTAGAAAGATGGTGCATGGGGGAAAGCCA